ATCCTAAGAGCGCTCGATACTTACAATATTGTGTTGTGACGTAACAGATCAATGTTTCGAACGTGTACATCGTTGAGGGCATCGCCATTTTAACTTTTGCTATTGCGTCGAATTGAAAATTTCAATGTTTCGGTGTAAGTGTGCTTTTTTTCTGAGGTATAGCGTTTAGTTTGTTTTGGTATGTTGTCAATCGTGGCTCGTAAGTCTTATACACCACAATAAAAGTGTGATTTCAATTAAATTCCATGTAATGGAGATTGGTGTGTACTTTACTTGACTGGAGAATGGACCTCAAGAACTTAACCTAACCTAACCTACTAGACCGAACATGGCAGTAAAAACGTTGAAAGGATTTAAAAAATTATATTATATTTCACTAGTTACCTGCATAGGTTTCTTGTGTTTCGTCATGTGAGGGAGGTTAACGGAGGTCCAATCCTTCCCCCACCCACATCCATCCTCAATCCTTAAATCCCCTAACCTTAAACCACAAAAGGCCGGCAATGCACTTGTAGTTACTACACTCCTTTGGTATAACGAGTGAACATGAGCAACGTCGATTGCTTACCAACAGGTAATCCGTCAGCTCGTTTTCTGACCTATACCATAACAAAAAAATAGGTGCTATGTTATTTGAGTACAAGTTCATAGCAATCAAAGCTCACCAAATATCTTGTATTTACTATTCAGCAGAACAATGGGACGGGGAATCCGTGCGTATCCGAACTTGTCGATGAGGCTCCGAAATTGTCCGAAATGCGTCGAACACGGCGCCCGACCTCGGAATGAAATACCGCGCATATTTTAATCCGTAACCTTAGCTAGGTTAATGCTGATAATTCTTTGTAGTTTTATTACATTGCACTTATAGTGCGTAAATATTGATTTTAGTAAATATACAAACGGCTGGCTTCTGCTTCTGATACTTAACGGTGTTGATGGGGTCGGGATGAGGTTCCAAATATCTCCTCTTATTTTCTAAAATCTTAGTTTTTATTTCGTAAGAGTTTGAGACTCCATCTCACCTCACCCAGGGGAAGAACCTCCTTCTCCATTAGGAGAAGTTATTTGATGATTTCCCATCTGCAAAACAAAAAACGCCTCTGTAAAATAAGTACTGACCTTGTCAAAAGAGCTTTTTACCCACACATACCTATTATGAACACAAACATGCACTTTACAATACCTTCGAAAATAGAATATTACCAAAAAATATATTCACAAATTTTGTTCTTGAATGTGACCAAACTGCTCTAGGTTCTAGCTCAATATACATATTACTGACTAGAACTAGACTGAAAGTAACTATTACATAAAGAGAACAAGTAGTAAACGTTTATGGCTAATCCCAGAGGCGACATTACAGGGTCACAACCAAAAATATTACATGACACACACCGCTGGAAGAATTGCTTCTTTTGTTTGCCTGTTACTTGTGAAATAATATTTTTTGTAAATAATTTCAGCTAAGTTTTCTATGGGTTAATATGAGTACAAATTATTTTTAATTGCTTAAAGTGGCTGCCGCACAACGTGTCGTGGATTCGGTTCCCGCACGAAACAACACTTTATGTGACCCACAAATTGTTGCTCCGGGTCTAAGTGTGATACATATGTTTGTAAACGCACCCACGACACAAGAGAAATTCCTAGTGTGGGGCAACGTTTAAATAATAAAAATAGCTTTAATGTTTTTTTATGGGATATGTAGGCACACGAGCAGACGGATTACCCGATGAATAATACCAAAAGAGTTACTACAAGTGCGTTGCAGACTTAAATCCATAAAATGGTTAAATTAGGGATTCAAGATTAGAAACTTGAAAGGATTGGACCATAGAAGCCACAGAAAACAGAAAAAAGTTTTTCCAATTCGGTTTTCTATGGATTGGCTCCCTAGTAACCTCCCCCATACGGAAACTTCCAACATAAGTATTGTTTTACACCAGTATTCTGTGAGACAGTGTTTAGAATGCTAAGGTATTTTTTTGTTTTTCTATTTACTATGGATTGGACCTCTAATAACAATTAATAAATGAGGAATCACACGGTGACACCCAACGTATCAGTACGGTCGACGTATCTTGGCGAGTCTGAAGTTAGCCGTTTGTCTGCGCAATGGATCTTTTAGGAACAAAATTGTGTACTGCGCAGCTAATCGTATTGTTTCACATCGGTATACTGTGAGGCCCTGATATTACTCCGGTCATACCGGTCCACTTTTGCGCCGAAGCATGGCTCTCCCACACATAGGCTCATGTGTGCATTCTTATTACAAGTGTTGCACTGATGAACCAAACATTTGCAGTTCGGAGTATCGAGAAGTTGACCCATTTGTTGAGTTTCAAAAGAGAATCCATGAGTTCTATTTTTGATTTTCTATAATGAAGTTGTTTTCAGGTATTTCCTTTTTTTTCGGCTATGACCGCCTCATGTAGTAAGTAGTTCCTATATGTCTCATCATATTCTTAACTGTACTACGTATATACAATTTCAAAAACATTGCTTAGCTATTTAAACTGTAAACACGTAAAATACAAATAAAAAAATAAATACTAGCTTAAATTTACATATTATTATGATTGTTAACCTCATTAGATGTTTTGTATCGCTCATACCTCACTCAGCAGAGTTTAATACCAAGCCAGCCAGTTATAAAGTAGGAAAATGCAATATATAAAATTGTTTCTGCTTATCAAAATTGTTAAATTGAAATATTTTTAAACATTTTCACATATTTGTGCTCCCCCATGCGCGCATACGTGCACAAACATTCGCTCAGAAAACAGACAGGCACAAAAATGTTTGAATAGTTTGAGTTGAAAACTATTTTTCTTTTTGCCATTTTTATACTCTTTGCTACGGACACTGTACAGTCGCCCGCATAATAGGCTTTTTTTTATTTTAATTGCGCAGATTGAATGTTTCATGCTTTGTTTTTTTAACTTCAATGATCGGGTTAATTGCAAGTTTTATGTTACGTAACAATTTGAAAATGTAATCCAAATCTTTTTTGGGTGTTTATCGAATCTTCTATATAAAAATTAATTCCTGTTCTTTGGTCTCGGTAAAACTTAAGAACGGCTGGTCCGTTTATGGTGATTGGTTTTCAAATATTCGTGGAAATCCAGAGTATGTTGAAGAGGTCAGAAAATATTAGTTAATTTTGAGAGTCGAAAATATTAGTTAACTTCGTACCGAAGTTCGCCGTGTCAGTTTTCATATAAAAATGAATTACTGATCGTTAGTCTCAGATAATACTCAAAAAAGCCTGGACTGACATGGCTTATTGCAGCCTTGAAATATACAAAATATTAGTTATATTTGAGGCTGTATGAAATTTGCCGGGTCAACTATTTTTAAACAAATTAATAACTAGTAAAACGTAGAGTATAGTTGTCCATAATAACTAACCCATTTTTTACGTAAAACTAAAACTACGGGTCGAATTAACATTTGACTCTGTTTTTATTCGCTAACCTATATTTAAAATAAGTTATTGTATTAAATAACACCCTACAACATGTCATTAAGGCTCAATTTTCTTTACTTCCGTATTTTATTACCATTTTGACACCCTGTTGAATCTTGTTGGTGACGACTTCGTGACACGACACCTTTTTCCACTTTATATAGTCGTATGAACATTAATTTAAAAAATATATTTCAATGACACATTCAGATTAAAATATATATAAAGAGCAAAATAAGTATTGTAAGGATTTTTCTTTGTTAATATTTTTTCTTTAAATATAATATAATATAAATATATGTATATTACTATTTACTGGCGAAAGTAACTAGTAAAAGCTCTACTAATGTAAAATCACAACAGGGTGGTTCTTAGTCAGTAAGAGTCTGACATTCTCTCGAAGGTACGTGTAGAGTTCAACCGGGCTGCGGGGAAGCGCAATAATGTACCACGGTGAGGCTGGGACGGGCAGGAGAAGAAACGCAGTGACTTGCAGTAAAAAATAATATATAAAATACCAAGAAAACCTATAAACACTCACATAAAGAAGAATAAATACCATATCATCTATGTTCTACAATCAACGGTCCATTTCCCAGCCATTTTTCTCCGATTAAATCGATACGCTATTAAATACCGTATTACGAACATTTATAGCTGTTCGATAGGGGAAAATAAGCTATTACATTGGCCACATTGCTCCCTAGAGGAAGCTATCAATCGGCTGATTGCCGTCCCACGCTTATTAGCTGGTTTGAGACAGCAACGCCTTCGCTACCAGCATCAGCCACTATCAATGAATTATGTTCGCCTGGTACCTTAGGAACATTAATTGTTTTTTTTTTGTCTATATTTAGATACATCTTGTAATTGATTCTTTTAGGTTTTGACCAATAAAATTGTTTGGGATTATGATTAGTTTTCCTACAATACAACGTAAAATTATTAACTTATAACAAATACTTAAGACTTTAAGCGACAGTGGCGCCAACTGCGCTATTTTTAAATGTCTAAACAGACTTTTTATAATGGTATTCTTCCAAAAACATTTACATCTTGTTTTAATTCTTCAAGTAACGGAGATGTATTCGTGCGGTAGTTTTAATTAGTGAAACAGTATGCAGGCATGCGGAAGGCCGACCTAATGTATGCACATAAGTTTGGTCTAACTTTTTGCGTGCCTTGAAATATATCGTGACAATGTTTACAGAGCTTGTTTTCATATTAATGTTGTTTATTAAAACCTCTATTGTTATTTCAATCATATGTAGTTATTTTTTTTAAGTAAACTTTTTTTTAATAGATATGTTCGACCCAATGATGTGTTATCTATCGGTCGTATGCTGGTGCTTAGCCTAACCTACCTGGTTAGGTATTGTATCATTGTCAACTTTTGATCGAATATCAAAACATTTATTATGTAGAAAAAAAGCGTTTGAATGCACATAATTATAAAGTATCGACGAATGAACTGAACAAATTGTACAAATGATAACATTTGACTTAATTAATGTTTCCTTTGTTTCAGAGCTGTCACCATGTTGGGAACGCGTTAAAGCATCGTGGTGTAAATAAATACTTAGGTCTAAAAGCAATAATTCGTAAAAACGTAGAAACCCCGTAGAGACGCTATATAAAGTGCTTTTAAGCAATAGTTTTAGTGTTACTAATAAAATTAAATCTTCCATATTAAATTTAACTTTAAGTATAAAATGTGGCGTGACTTTAATTGTTAAATATACAATCAAAATGATCTTTATTACTAAAGTCATAAAGCTTCAATTACAACAAAAGTTTTCAAGCCTTATCGCTTCGCAGCGTACAGTCGACGACGGAAGTGCATAGCTTTGTGTTAAATAGAATAATGTTAAAAAGAAAATGCCGCAGCGCGCGCCGACATCATCAAACTTGATGCGACCATTCGTGGTGTTGGCCCTGCCCGGAATGTATTTGCTGTATAAGTACAACCAGTACCGGCAGCAGCAAATGGAGACCGCGCGGCGCCGAGTCACCGAGCGCGAGCTTATGCACCTCAACACCAAAATTGTAAGTATCTAGTATCCTTACTAACAAGAGAGAAAACAAATAATTTTATTTATTACTTAGTTATTATTCGTTATATTTGTGTTCACGATAATAGATGACAAATTAATTTTATTTAATTAGACGGCCAAACGCTTCTGGAGCGTATGATTAAACACGAAAACAACAGCAACCTTTTAAAAATACGGAGGAAAAAATGTGTTGAAATACTTTCGCAACAATACGTCAGGTTTTGAAAAACACGTGCAAGGCGAAGATAATATTTCTTTCATGTAAAGAATGGATGTAAACACTAATTGATCATAAACAGCAGCCATTAGTCATGCTGTATAAATCCCGGTAACTAAATCAGTTCAGGGAAGGCGATGAAAACCATACTGTGCCAAACGTCGGCGCGTGATATATTTTTATGGGCGAGCCGTGAAGAGGCGAGAGCATAATAAAAAAACATAAAATAACAGGTAGCTTACGTATTTTGTGAGAAAATGCAGCCTTGCTTTCTGTGTAAAAGTTATTTTTGTAGTTCTTTGGAAAATATCTAGTGTAGTCTCTCGAATGTTATTATGGGCACGTACAGAAACGAGAGAAAATATCGTTAGACAGAGCAAGAATTCTTTGTAACGCATTTATAAACATGATATAATTAAATAATACAACAAATTCCAATAATTATAAGTACCTAGGTATACAAGTATTTGGTGGTCGTAGACCAATAAAAAAAAATATTAAGTTTTTATTGTAAAACCTTTTTGTGGGTGATAATACTTATTTTTAGTCTACTTTTTGGGTTTTTTGCCGCCACATTTTAGTAATACCGACATAGTTTCACGTTTCTAATGTCGTCGTGAAGAAATACCTAAATACTTTATTTTGTTTTGATGTTTTAATTTTCGTATTTAGATGCAATATCCATGAGTTTTTATGATATTTACAAGGTGGTGCTTTGAAATGATCAAATAACAAAAACCAGTACTAATATTGATTTAAATTACACTAATGATACAACTCTTTAAATAAAACTTGCAAGTTCCAATAGTTACATACACACACTTATATTTTAATATTCATTTAATTGAAGAAAACAAATCAAGATTTAAAAATAAAACAGGATTCAAATATGCACATCACACACAGTTTTCACCAATAAACTATCCCTTTGTTAACTAGTAGTATATTGATTGGAAACCTAAACATACCTTACATTTAACATTTATTATCATACTTTCAAATAGCGAAACAAACACTAAATGTGGGAGAGCTATGCTTCGGCAGGAATGGGTCGGCTCGACCGGAGTGATACCACGGCCTCACAGAAAACCGGTGTGAAATAACCACAGTGTTGTGTTTCGCCGTGTGAGTGAGGTTACCGGAGGCCCAATCCTTCCCCACCCCCGATCCCTCCTCAATCCGTAAATCTCCAAATCCCTAATCCCTAAAAGGTCGGCAAGGCACTCGTAAATCCTCCGCTGTGAGTGTCCATGGGCGGCGCTGATTGCGTACCATCAGGTAATCCGTCTGTTCGTTTGTCGACCTACTAGGGTACATAAAAAAACACTGAAGAACTGAAGTCCAATAATACTCAACCTATATAGATATCAAATTCATCAAAGATAATGCAATTAAAAATGAATAGAAAGAAAATAACTTAAGCTGGTAAACTAACTTGGCATACTTACAGCTACGCTTGTTAAAAGGAAATGGTTACTTAATACAGTCAAGTTAAGTTAAAAGATTAAAGTACTTAGTTAAGAAGACTGCTTGTAACAGCAACGACGTCAAGAGTTATCCACGCAGTAGCGGATCACCGCGGGGCCCGTAGCTAATTCTGTTAAGGGGCCCTCGAACTTAAACAGGGGTACCCATGAAATACGTCCCTGGTATTATACTGTAACCTAACTGTTTAGTAGTAGAGCATTTTTCTGTTTATTCACGTGAGTTGTCATTTCCAATAAATGTTGTGAAAGGTAGGTGCTGCACAAAAATAATTATTAGACACGAGTTTGAGTACGTTATTGGGCCCCTTTTGCGGGGCCCGTAACAAATGCTACTTATGCCAAGTAACTAATCCGGCACTGGAGTTGTATACAGCTTCAAAGTAGACTTCAAAGTCAAATTATAGGAAACTTAGTTCCGAAAACGTTGGTATGCTTTCCAATTTTTTTTTTTCGAAAACTTTATTGTTTTTTTTTGCTATGAATTATCTACTTAATATGGATTTTATATCAAAGGTATTTAGATAACGTCTAATAATTCATTGAGTTATAAAATGGACTAAATAACATCACATCACACATCATCAGCCTATAAGTGCCCACTGCTGAGCAAACGCCTCTTCTCACAAGGGGAAGGTTTGAGCATTAATCACCACGCTTGCTCAAGGCGGATTGGCGATTTCAAACTTATAATTGGAGATTATTAGTCCAGGTTTCCTCACGATGTTTTCCTTCACCGTATGTCAGTGGTGTCTAAATAATCTTAGAAAGTTCATATAACTCGGAAAAAGTCACATTGATACTTGCCACGTTTCGAACCCTCGGGCTCGGGCTTCTTAACCTCCGGGCCACCACAACATAAATAACATAAAATATTAATTTGTATTCATTAAAATAAAATAAAAATACTTACACTGTCCGTTTGAGTCTGTACTCCCGGTCAATGTTGGTAGGTATTACCTCGCAAATGGAATCTACATTGTAAACAAGTAACACGTGTATCTATTCAGGGTTAGAATTCAATCTTTGTGCCTATTTCTGAAGTTTTCAATCATTCAGCATTTTTCCTGGAATAGTGTCTAAAGTCGTAGTGTGAGTATAATATTCTGTATTTTATGCAACAGTATTTATTAACACAAATATGTTTACTATCTTTGATATCGGCCTATGAAAATAAATATGCAGGTAATAAAAGACTTTAATTTCTTTAGTTTATTGAAAATAGCGACTAATTCACGTGAATTAACTGAAAAAAAAATCAGCGTGCACGTCCTAGCGACATCGCATAATCTCCCGAGACTAGACTAGAGAAACTAGAAGACCTTTTCACAGATAAAAAGTCGTTGTTTTCAATACATTTCTTAAGTTTCTGTAATTTCACACAAACCATTCCCTGTATCTCGTTTTCAAGGATTTTAAACCCTAAGATTGACTGGTGGAGAATGCCACATGGCATTAATTCCGACATATGTAAACTTTGAGTAGATTTCCTATCATTAGCCTTGCATAATTTAGAAAAAATAAAGGCACACTTTTCATAAATACCTACCTACATATCTATATTACATACCTATAACATAATTTTTATCGCAACAAAAACTACCGAAACCTACTTTACGGACTTCCCGTGACCTCGACTCCTGAAAACGGCTGTCAAATAAACGGAATCCATCCAACTTGCTATATAAATCAAGTCTTTTTCTAAAAGATCAATCGTACAGTTAGGTGAAAAATGTTCAGTCAAGCTTTTGATAAAATTATAGAGGTACGTGATTTAGTTTACAAATATCTTCTTAAGGCTTTTCTTACTACATTATGTATGATGTACTATGTTTAATTAAGTTTATATTATATGTGATAAAATAAAGTAGATATTCTGTTTTAAGTTTACGTACTCATTCGTGAGACATTCTAAATTATTGTGTTTTCGGCTTACTCACGTAATAATTTGACGAGATACTCGACTAGTTTCGAGCCATGCTAGAAGCCCATATTCATGAGCAGCATTCAGCGACACGCGGCTCGGCGACTGTCGCGCTGCTACTGCCAGTAGCAGTGTTTACGCGAGTAAGCCGAAAACATAATAATTAATTTACGTACTCAGTTATAGGTAAGATGGAATTTGTACAGATTCAATAAAGGAATAAAATTCTTTTTTTCAAATAAAAACCTTGGCCCTTACTACGGCTGGAAGCGTTTGTGGGAGCGTTCACAAACACAAGCCACTCAGACACGGAACAACAGTTTGTGCATTACACAAAGTATTTTTCCGTGCGGGAATCTAACCATCGACACATTTAAATAACACAAATCCATATTTCAAATAGCACAAGAACCCAACCCCACCGACATTAAAGTAAACCTACAATTTTTGAACATTACTATACAGAGAAAAAAAAGTAAAACGTCTGTTGTCGACGTACGTTCGTCAGACTGGGTGTGGTTCCACTACACGCGATATGGCGACCACAATGGCTTTCCCATGAGTCAACGATTCCCGGGAAATAGTAGCCGTAGGCCAGTATGTACTTTGTGTAGTAGATTGCAGTAGTAAACTGTTTATGAATCATAGCTTTGTATTCATAGACACTAAATGTATTTAAATTTCGAATGCAATAATTTTAATAACAATAATTTAAAACATAACCTTCTTTTATTTTTCAAACGTGGATTTAAGTACACTAGAATTTTCTCATTCATAGCAGTTTGGGATCACAAGTGTTGTTTCGTGTGGGAATCGAACCCACAACACATTTCACGGTAGGCGGTTGCTTAGCCACTGCATCATCCGTGTAGTCAAATATATACAAACGAAACACGAACCATTTCCCGACTTTTCAAGTGAATTTATTTTTCATAATAATCTAATTTTGGCGTCAGGAATGATTTATCGAAACGAGTTCCCGAGTTTTACACTAAATATCATTATCTCATTATTTTTTGTGTGATAAATCCGGATAATCAGTTTAAAGAATTCATAAAAACCCAGAAGACATATTTGACAACTAACTGACCAATGTTTAAAACCTGAGGTTTAAAACATAGATACATAATATCGATCGTGAAAATCGATAAAATAATTCATAACAATTTGTTCCGAAAAGCTAATTAAAATGGAGCCAAATAGACGACAAAAATAGAAAAGTTAATTATATTTTTTGCCCATTGTCCTTCACAGCGGATCTTTACATGGGATGCTAATTATTTCCTCGTCATTCAGAATACTAGGAAACATGTGACATTGTTTCATTTTTTGTTCAAGTTGGAAGACAATGGAAAGGATGTCAGTATCCATGTAGTATCTATATAACAGGAATTATACAACAAAAGTTGATAGTATTTATTTTGAATTCATTTAGTTCAATTGTTTTATTATATTTCATTCACTCATTTATTCATTCATTCATTTAATTCAGAATTATTAACACATGATGTACAAGTTTTTTTAATTCAGGGTATATCCGATTCACTTTAAGGTTTTAATAGTTGTTGTAAATTAAATTGCAACAATTTAGTTTTACAGTATATTGTACTGAAAAATAGTCATTATGACGTATATTATATATTGATACAGTTTACATTGATACACTGCATACTACGAATGGCTAATCGATACCCAGATAATTCCTTTGAGGTTTTCGTAAATTGATCACTAGCTTTTGCCCGCGACTTCATTCGCGTGGAATAGTGACTTCCTGCAAATTTTTAGTATAAAAACTATCCTATGTCCTTTCTGAAGTTCCAAATGTCTGTACCAAATAGCGCAGAAATCGCTTCAGTATTTTAAGCGTGAAGGAAAGACAGACAGACAAACAGACAGTTACTTTTGCGTTTATAATATGGATTAGTTTGGATTGTAGAAATAAATTGAGAGTTTTAGATAAACAAAAATGTTGATCTACATATTTCATTCAAACGAAAATAGTATTTTGCAGTTAAAGTCGTCTATATCTCTAAATCTGGCTGTTTTTGATACCCCAGCCTCAAAGAAAACCGGCGTGATACAACCACAGCGTTGTGCTTCGCCGTGTGAGTGAGATTACCGAAGGCCCAATCCCTTCCCCTATTCCTATCCCTTCCCAGTCTTTAAATATCCGAAATTCTTACCCACAAAAGGCCGGCAACTCCTATGGTGTTGCGGGCGGCGCTGGTTGCTTATCCGTCGACTCGTTTGCCGACCTACTAATAAAAAATAATCAAGACGTTATAGATATTAAAACTGTAGGTATGTCTTTATTTTAAAATTAAAGGCAAAACAAGGGAATTAGAACAAGGGAAAAGACGACAAATATTAAACCGACTTTTGAATGTGCCTTTAAAAGGTCGATAGCCTTAAAAAGACCTAGTTTATGAGCACACTAAAATGGCGTCCAGTTTAGTCCTAATACTTAACACGAACGCGGTTCGATGACCATTAGTTTTACTTCGTCACGCAATTTCCTTCTTCAAATTTGACTGATCACCGGCGTGTCGATTTGTTTGGTTTCTTTTTAAATTTTTTGTTCAACTTTGCTTAGTATTTGTGCCTAAAATATGTTGTAGTGGTGCGTATTTTTGTCACTGCTTGGTGTATATTCAAATTAAATTTTTGGTCTTTCTGTTTATTACGAATATGTACAATGTCTATTGTACGTTACAGGGTAGGTTTAGACGTAGGAAACTAATGAGATTTTATTCTTCTCTACATATTAAAAAGCAAAGTCGCTTTCTCTGTCCCTATGTCCTTCTGTTCGCTTAAATCTTCAAAACTACGCAACAGATTTAAATGCGGTTTTTAGAAGGGAGAGTGATTGGAGGGGAATATTCATGTGTAATATCATCCATCAAAAAGTAGATAAATTTCATACTTATCAGCATTGCAGTGCAAAGTGAGGACAGAGCTAGTTCCTAAATAAAGTTCATTTTTGTGTATCCTTTCCTTACTTATCCCACCACGCTACACTAAATTAAAACAAGTCAGAAATGTCATTTAAAAACAACAAATCAATTGTACAATAAAATGTGTCTCCCAATTACGAGGGAACACTTTAAAACTGCAATTTAAACTCTATATTATCAGATTATCGAACTACGTGGCCGGTGCTTGCTCGACAAAATCCTATAATTGCTTCCATTACAAAAACTTCATCCTGGTCAGCAATATTTTCTCTTGAGAAAACTTTTTAATTCATGATTAAATTGAATTTTCGTTTATGGCAGTTAATTTGTTGAACTGTATTAATTCATATTTCCTATAAAATGTTTTTCGAAGTGAATTTGTAGGTCCGAGCGAAGTGGAAGCGAAATTCTTATTGTTGTATTTTTGGATACTAATTCGAAACAACGATTGATATGGCAGAAGTACTCGTATTTAATGTAGAAGTATTGAATGTACGACAATATTATTTGGTTTGGTAATTTCTAATTAAATACATAAGTGAATTTTATTAAGGTATTTAAATAAATGGCGTTACAACAAGTTTCATGTACTTACAAATTCAATCTTCTACCGGTAAGCAGGTGCGAAATCTTTGCGTAGGAAACTATACTGTCAAGTTCAAAAGAACCTTATTACGGTTTCATTAAAGTCTTGATTAATATTTTCGACAGTTTTGTTTATATAACACTGGCAACTGGATGGAGTTTCATTAAAGTTTCAAACTTACCTAGCTACTTATTTAATTTCCTCTATTCTTTGTATTAATTAATCTACTTTTGCTTGTCTTTTGAAAAATTTACTGTTTATTGGATCTGCCTTTTCCCGCCTTACCTACTTAATAGTATGCTGTGATATAAATAAATTAGTTAATTTAATTGGGCAATTTAAGTTGAACTTCATTCCTGGTTAGACTAGAATTTTCAATGTTTGGGTTTCTTTGGGGAATAAGATATCACAAAATTTCCTGATTTCGAACAACATATACTGTGGAATTTTCATCAATTTCACGTGCTTGAAATAGAAACCAAAGTCACAACACACAGCACCTGGTCGCCAAGTCACGTGCCCACCGTTTCTGTACTGAAAATGTAATAATACCTATAACAAGAAATCTAAAAACTTCTTCCACTTAGAAAAACCAATCAAAATACAAGACGAACTCAAATAGTTTTTCTGAAACAAAACAAAGCGAATGTGTAAACAAAGGTCCACTGATTGAATGAGACTATTTTAGAAACACTAGTGAGGAAATAGGCCAATAACAGCCGAGAGTAGACTATAAATACTGCAGTGTCAAGGCAGATCGTTGACGCGCTTTCCCTCTCGACCGCTCAACTGGACTATAAATATGTTGCAGGCTTTATTGGACGCGATCGCTTTAATTAAAGAGTTCGGAATGAAATGAGATCTGTGTGATAATTGATGAAATGATAATTGATGATTGATGAAATGTTTCAAGGTTTTAAGAGTAACTTACAGATCGTTTGCTATCGCATGGAATCATATAAGTAAAAAACAGGTACTCTGTTTTTACTACTAAAATATCCTCGGCACAGTTGGTTCGACAAATACCTAGCACAAAGTCATTATCTTTACAAGCCTTTTATTATAAGCCAGCTTCCGGTCGCGGCTTTGCCTTCGTAGTGTTAGTAAATAGCCTGTGATAATCTACGAGTAGGGTACTATCTTCATACCAAATTAGTCCAACCGTTTTTGCATGAAAGAATAGCAAATATACACCCATGCATTCTCACAAACTTTTACATTTATAATATTAGTTGGCTAAAACCTCTTTGTAATATTTAAAAGAACAACATAAACGTTCTGGCAATGTCCGACAAAAGAATAAATTGGGGAAGATGCTAAAAATGTCATCATTCCAAAAAATTTCACAACAGCAACAAGAAGCACCCACATGATAAAAAAAATATTTTTAACAAAATTTCCAAAAAAAAATTAAAAAACTTCTAACAAGATGTCTAGGACCCGGGAATTTTGGTCGCATATCGTAAGTTCGTCGAGAATTTTAAACTGCCAGGCGGAGTCGATTCTTCGCAGATGCTATGCGAAGAGAGTCAAAGGTGATGGCTGCAGTAGAGCTCATGTAGACATCCCTCCTCCTGTCGATCCAATATGTCCACAACCTTGTGAAAGACGCAAGAAGAAAAAAGAAGGGATCCTGCACAAGATCAAATTGAAGGTCATTGAGGGTGGGACTAATTTCGGAAGTAAGTAATGTATTCGTATCCATATTTAGATCACGATAGATGTTCATAGGGTCAGTGCCAATTAAGAAAGAACTTAATGATTTACTCAATAAGTATAACTATTACGCAGCACCATTTCGTCGCCTTGAATGCAAAGGGCGAGACGTTTGTCTCAAAGAATCGGTGAAGGCGTTACCGGAACCGAAGAAAACAATCCCTCCAATGCCGGAGCCTCGGCCTGGAGTCCAGGTATCAGTGCTTGGTGCCGACACTGCCATTGGGCAGTACGTTGCTCTGCTTCTAAAACAGTGCTCCTGCATTAAAAAGTGAGTTATGTTACCACATAAAATAGTAACGCCGTAGTCTGATTTACCTTGAGTTCTTTTTGGCCCAGTAATCTGGGGTTTCACATGAAATTGTTAGATCTACATCACATCACATCACATCACACATTAGCCTATAAGTACCCACTTATAAGCAAAGGCATCTTCTCACACGCAGAAGGTTTGAGCATTTATCGCCACGCTTGCTCCAAGCAGATTGGCGATTTCAAAATTAAGAGATTATAAGTCCAGGTTTCCTCACGATGTTTTCCTTCACCGTATGTCAGTGGTGTCTAAATAATCATTGAAAGTAGTATAACTCGGAGAAAGTTACATTGGTACTTGCCAGGTTTCGAAGCCTCCTGCATGAGAAGCGGATGCCTTAACCTCCAGGCCACCACGACATTCTAGTTAGATCTATACCTAAAGTAAATGTCACATCAATACTGCAGCAAAAACCGGCCAAAAAATTTACGAGTTGCCCTATTACTACGAAAAGCTAATTATCTCGAGGTAGTTACTTTAGTCTCATTTAAACAACTCTAGAGTATATTGCTTCCCGGGACTATGGGCTACGTATTGCCGTTTGACCTAATTGGACATTTCCCACAAACGACTCCCGCTCGCACCGATGACCTTTCTACTTCTATTTTGTTATTTATGTTTTAAAGAGCATGTGTAATTAAATTTTTAGGTCATTTCTCTTTAGCCGTCGTATTCATAATATTGCCCTGATTTTGCTACTCAATTCCTATTAAGTTAAACAGTGTTTTAGGCTACTTATTTAACGCTTGATCTAGCCTTGAAACGGTAATAGCTTTGTATAATAAATGAATGGAAAACTTAAGTTTAGTCTTGATTGATAATTTTGTTATTTTATCACGCTACGTCTAAATCATGTTGAATGGAGTATGTGCCCACATGTCTTTTTTAATTTCATGTTAATTTAAATATCGAGCTATAGTTTTGAAAGATTGTTCGACAAACCCACGATTGAGGAAATTTATTTCTAATGAAAGCCCTTTGAATAATCAAGCCTCAAATATTTAATTTTTCTTTATTAACTTATATTTATTTTATAAATAAAGCCCACTCAGGCAAATTGTCTGACCGACTTTATTCGTTTCAATAATTATTCAGACCCGTAAAGTCGGCCAGCGGCCAATCAAAACGTTCATTGGTTGAAACGAAATTTAATCAAACCTCTTTAGTTTACGGCCAAATCGCCTTCGCTCGTGGTCCATAGACACAACAGTTTATGGACGCTCAGCTGGCCAGTTGGCTATGACGTCATTGCCCTCAAGACGAAAGCCAATAAATAAATAGACACAGAAGGTTCACTTGTAAATTGGTTCCTAAGAGTCCTTTTCAATTTATTGCTTTATTTAATAAAATTATATTGCCCAACTGTAGCATCCAACAACTCTACAAGCATTTTTCATAATGTCGTTTATCTGTCTCACTTTTATTTAATACTGACTTCAATCCTTCAATCGTGAATATGTTGCTAGTGAAAATTTCTGTCTGCTATCAGCGGTATCTTGTGCCTTGCCTCTTCTGCAAGGTCTACTTACTCGTCTTGAACTTACGATCCTATTAAGTTGGCCTTCTAAATTGAGCTTCTTCACACTTTCTACATGGCTCATGAAATCCACGGCCCTCAGGGATCGTTCGTCTCACCGATGTCACAACACGACTGCGCAACGGTTCGCCTGCCCTGTTCGAATTTATCGCTCGGGATCAGAATCGTTCCCTCACATTAATGTCGTGGGTATATAGATGGTTTTGCTTCCACGATTGATGGAGGAGCTAGAAACTGATGTTTGAACGGTTTCTCGATATTGTTTTGTGGATTTGATCAAAGCTTTTGATAGCATTGCTGGAAATTGTGTTACTAAGATAAACTGACAGCTAAAGACTTGATTGCTCCATTTTCTATTGGGAAAGTCAGTCGTGGATTTACATCAAGTTCATTTCCCTCTGGGGTTACAATAAAATAATTGATGTTACTTTTTTAAGTCGTGACTCTTCTCGATCTTTGGATAGGTGGGAGAAGAAATTTTAACGCACACTCACATCACATACTCTTCTACCATTGTTTTTTTTTGACACTGCAGCCCTTCTCAATATCACTACTTGTGCTGGTCCTGCAAATTGGTATTATCTGGTCTAATCTATTACCTATAACCATTACATGAGGTTTTTTGGCTATTCCTGTTCTACCGTTTAAAACATTTTGCTCATAAAATAAGGAAGTACGCACAACTGACCGTTCGCTACGACTCATGAATCTGCTCCTAAGGGAGTCCCTTGATGTTCCACGTCCGTTTTATTACGCAAACGATTCTACCACAACTTTAGTGGCTCTCAATGTATGATTGTTTTCTTTATACGAGACATTTTTATTTGATATTGGCTGTGGAATTAGGTTATTACAATTTTCTCGTCAAAATCATCCTTTAAATGTTTGATTTATTTATTGTAAAATTGCATTACTGTTTTTAAAATAAATAAAACATGTCCCAACATCGTCCATTTCCATAATCCATTATACACACGAACGACCATAAAAAATGCATTCAGCCGTTCCATAGTGCCATCATAAATTCCCGCCATAGACCAAAAATGTTAGGTATTCAGAAAGAACAGCACTATATCCACAATGAGTTGTTAACTGTGTTTCTATTGCCTTCGCTATAAGGTTTGTTTTCGCGTGTTTCTTCTACTGTGCTATGCACATCAAAGTTTTAGTAAGGACGTAGGCATTATATGGATCATTCAGTGTATAAGGAGCAAAGATTTTACGACGCGTCCGTGATACCGCGGAGCGCTATTTTATCACAATTTTCATTGCTAGGAAACTGAGTCTGTATTACATTTCTGACTTAATACGTTTCGTTTTGATTTATGTTCAATAACTGACTTTTCTTACATAGAACGCACTTTTAGCCACTTTTATGAATATTCTACATAAAAAAATATAAAATCCTAACTTTACTTTCCACTCTTACAAACACGATTTATAATGGCAGATAAGACAAAAAAACTATTCCAACAATATGAATTAGAGGAATTAACCTACTAAAAATTTTAACACCCAGATAACGCTGCCTTATTAGAAACGGATTCACAACCACAAAAGCTCAACTTGTTTCAAAGCGCGAATCGATTTAATCCTTACTCCCTCGGTATAGCTATTCAATTCCAATAAGCCATCTTCATCATTCTATCTAATCGGATTGCAGGTTACGTCTCTATGAAGCGAAAGATTCTCAAGGTTGCAACAGGGACTTGTGCTCCGTAGTGCAAGATCTTCAGCATATCAACACTAATTGTGTTGTACAGGCATTTAGCTGCGCCTGTTACGAACTCGAACGATGTTTACAGGTTGATTTTGAACCTTATTTGCTATAGTAAAACCTAGAATTTTTTTTGTGGTATAGTTCTTATAGCCTAAGAGCTAGTGAAAAGCTACCTATATGTATTTGACCAGACCTGGGTTTTTGTACATTGAGGCCCCTATACCTACCATACATGAGATGGGGACCCATTAAGCCCAGAGTGGTGGACGCGGCGGGCGCTCAGGTAGGACACGTAGTGATTTTCAGCAAATTTTAAATTCATTTGACAACGCCTGCCGTTTAGAAATTTAAAAACATATTATTATTATTGGAAAATGACAATGGCAGATCATTATCACGCGTTTAACATTATGGCAGACAGTTATGAAAGCACTAAAAAAATAAAATTTTGAAAGTATTTGACCAGATCTGCCATTGATATATTTTGTTTATTAGGGTCTTAAAAACCTATGTTCACCACGGCAGACGTTTTCATTGACTTCACACTGCAGCAGATAACAAGACTTAGCAACTACCCGGTCAGAGATGTATGCATAGACTGTCTATGTAGCTATCTTTTTTTTCCTATGTGTTACTATTGTATTCATTCTACCCTACAGTATTTTCTTTTATAGTTATTTAGCATTCAAAGAATTCAGGGTTTATAACTGAGAGGGCTCTGTTAAGCGCCCTTTTCTAACGGTCTTTGTCAGATGTTTTTAGTATAGTTGTGGACTCCCATACAAATGCTTCGTGTTTTGTGAATGTAATAAAATATTAAATGTTGCTTTATTTATTTTTGTTAATTTTACATTTATTTGATTAATACAGGGTGTAAAAAGACACTTAACGAAGCCGAAAGCCACGTATTCTATCCATTATTTGGATTTTTTTTTTTCTTTAAGACTATAGCTGGGATTCCACGTGTTCTCGAGATATTGAAGGTCAAAGATGCATTTTTAAATACTTTTTTGCGCAATCGAATTCTAAGTATAATACTATATAATTACAAAACTTTTTTCCAAACAAACATTACCTGAATTTACGATTTTTCTAAATAAATTACGCATTTGAAGTTACGAACAGTAATGTACATAATAAATAAATGCAGACCCGCACAAAAAACATCGTGCATCTCAGTAGGATTTTTATTTTACAGAATTGTTTTGTTGTTGCGAAGTAAAACGTCAACCTACGTACTTATCACAGCGTTTTAATGCTAAGCTGTGAACCTACGCACACAATGACACGAAGCCCGTTTGCTTTACATTGCGCGCAATAATATATTTTTTTGATACCTAAAAATAAGTCGTTTCCCAGTTTTAGCGTAAAGCTACTTAGTTAGAACTGCAGTATGCGTAGTTAACGGCTTCGTTAAGTGTCTTTTTACACCCTGTATGTAAAGAAAAATACATTACTTTTTCTTATCTGCAATCAACCTCAATGTTTGAGATTCTTCCAAAATGTATTTATTTTATTATATAAACTACTATTAAATACTATAAAAACATTTATAAAGTTAATCATTGATGTAAAACAGAGAACGATATCCATATACATCTCTGACCGGGTAGTAGCTAAGTCTTGTTATCTGCTGGAGTGTGCAGTCAATGAAAACGTCTGCCGTGGTGAACATAGGTTTTTAAGACCCTAATAAACAAAATATATCAATGGCAGATCTGGTCAACTACTTTCAAAAATTTTATTTTTTTAGTGCTTTCATAACTGTCTGCCATAATGTTAAACGCGTGATAATGATCTGCCATTGTCATTTTCCAATAATAATAATAATATGTTTTTAAATTTCTAAACGGCAGGCGTTGTCAAATGAATTTAAAATTTGCTGAAAATCACTACGTGTCCTACCTGAGCGCCCGCCGCGTCCACCACTCTGGGCTTAATGGGTCCCCATCTCATGTATGGTAGGTATAGGGACCTCAATGTACAAAAACTCAGGTCTGGTCAAATACATATAGGTAGCTTTTCACTAGCTCTTAGGCTATTAGGTAGATGTCATCATTGATGGTATTTTTAGTAAAGTACTGATTTTAAATAGTATCTTAAAGATAGAATCTTACAGATATTTTTGAATGCCAAAAGCACGGGTTCAATGATAGGTGCTTACGTATATGAGACTAAAACTCTTATCGATTTTAAAGTTATTGTGAAAAATCACGCTTTTTCTGTACGTCTGACTTGGTAAAAATCGGTCTACCAAAAAAAATAAAAGAGTAAAATCAATTAGGCAATCATTAAAATCATACTTAGAAAGAACACATGTTTGAAAGAAACATGTGTTTTTGTATACATATAATATCACTAGCTACTCTCGCGCGGTTTCACCCGCTGCTCGTCTCCATTTGATCGTAGCGTGATGTTTTATAGCCTATGGCACTCAGAAACATTGCAGCTATCTATCAGTGAAAGATTTTTGGCAATCCGGCCAACGGTTCCAAAGATTACCCCCTACATACAAACTTACAAACTTAACAAATTTTATCTCTTTATAATATTAGTATAGACAAGAAACACTACCGCCATAGGTCACAGTCAAACATCTAGCTGGCGAGTTCTACGCCGTTGACATTAGCATATCGCGCAATGGAGCCAACGTCAGCGTTAATGTCAAACTCGAGAAGTTGGCCCGCCATGCTACCAACTTTCTATTTCGAATCTATACAAACTTTGTTGGTTGTGTCGAAAGTCAATGAATTGAATTTACGTATATTAACCCTACTAACTTAAAATTTTATAAGAAATCTTATAAACTTCAATGGCTTTGGTGTTAATGAAACAAAATAAGAAATATAAATACATTTTGCTTTTCTTAAATCTGTGCTGCGGTTGCTTGCGTAGTTTTTAAAATGCCGGGATCCCGCTGTTCGGGTCCTATTGAACGTAACGGAATGTCTCATAGTCTAAAAGAATCCTTAATAAACACCCTATACAACATACAGCAAAGTGGTCAATTCGATCCCAGTAGCTTCGGCGAAAAGCGCGTTCAAAGAAACAAACTCGGCTTTATAATAATTAGTATCTTTAGGGCTGATTTTTCAAACCTCAGATATGTTATTTGAGGAATAAAATTGTTGCTGTCACTGTTTCATACAAACATTCTGATGCGACAGCATCATAACTATTCCCCAGGTAACTTTTATCTAACTATTGAAAAATCAGCCCTTTGACAAATTATATTGCAAATCACCACCTGAAAACATACAGTATATCAGAACAGTAGTAAAATGTAATATGATAGTATAAGTTTTAATTACAGCGTAGTGATTCGTGCTGTCGAAAAGCCGCGCCTACCCCACAGCGGCCATGACGCCTAATTAAAATTATCATGCGAATTTGCTTCCATTTCCATGCGAGCTTTTTTGTTCTTCTTTTCTTTATCGGATTTTTTTACACTTGTGACAACCCTACGCCGCAGACTAAAAAGAATACATACAGGGGTATAAAATTAGAATAGGAGTGCGGATAGCTAAATAAGTGGTTGTTGTGAATTATTATTACAGTCGACTGCTCTGTAATGTGATCAGTTTTATTTTTACTATCCATAGATCATCATCTATTGTGTAAAAAGAGATCAGAGTAAAAACGGAGTATAGGCACTTTTTGGAGCATTTTACAGACACTTTGATTATGACACTTATTTTCAACCAAAACCGATTAGCATATTTACACGAGCATTAACTAATAGCTGGGGATCGGTAGATATACCAATACCAAGTAAATATACGTACATATATAAAAGACACACAATTTTTAAAAGCCTGATCGCTTCTATTTTCCTCCTCCCTTAATTCTCAAATCCCCAAAAGCCGCCAACACACTTAAATCCCTTGGTGTTTTTCTTATAGAACAGAACAGCAAAACATCAGAGGCAAATGACTTGATCCCGACTACTTACTATAAGATGACTCTCTACTAGTTTCCTATAAAAAACAGTCAACAGTTAAAACCAACACAGTTCTAGCATTAAGACTTCAATTTGCAAAAGAAACAGCAAGCAGGTCGGTACTAATTAAAACTGGTCTCAACTTTTAATTTGCAGTTTCTACCAGTTCTGTTGATATTAACTAGGCATAGTACAAGTTTGCACCGGACTTCAGCCTCTGAAAGTTTTCTCGCCACGAAGTGAAATAGACTTGTTTATAAGAAGTTTTGTTTAGAAAATAGATGCACATATAAATTGTCCATCAAATCTCAGGAACTACTGGTTTAAATTGAACGATTATTTTGTGTTTATATAGGAAGGCTATAAAACATCATGCTATGAACTGTAAGAGCTAATCAGCAGGTGAAACTGTAGTAGCTATATTGAATATTCTTAATTTGATTATAAAAAAGTTTCCACAAGTTCAGCACAGTCTTGTGCCTCCACGGCGGCACAAGACTGTGCTCAGCGCACAGCAACAATGCTCAAAAAAGGCCTGATAGGGATGTGTTGATACCGGCGAATGACTGTAGGGATTCTGGGAGTTGGTCTATTGACGGAACCCGGGTAAGGGTTTTTACAGGCCTTGATGATGGCTACCCGGAAGTTTTTAAAAACGGTTTTACGAAGGTTTAGGTAAGGTAAAAAAGTTAGGTGCCATTTAAGCATTTTTTTTTATTTCTAATAAATCGTGGGTTTGGAAAGTAACGTCGTTTGATCAGTATTTGACTTAATTTTTGTGAAAATTAATATTTTGCGTAACTTTTCGGGACCTATTTCACCACCAAAATAAATCTGAAAATGTATTCGTAACACTTTTGCTACAAATTGCGTTCCATTTTTAAATCGTAACTGGTAGCGTAACTGGTACTCGTAGCGGCTATTCAAAAGACCCTTAATCTCAAACAATAGATCAGTAGAATAATAATGAAACCAATTCATACTGCCAATACTTTCAGACAGGCATACTACATAACAAACCCATAAAATACCATAAAACAAAACCTCGTTCAATGAGTAAGTAGCAATTAAAAAGCAACCCATGTCACAGAGTAAAAAATAATGAAACCAATATTGATTAGAAATACAGTCTAATCAATGTTGATGGTGGATTTTTTTATTCATCGCCACTCATGCATGGTATTCGCGAGAGGGCCCCCGTGCCGTTGACCTCACCTTGCCAATCAATACGTACCATTCGACCCACTACACCGATTATACAATTCTTTAGAATAGTTTGTAGGTTTGTAGGCGACTTATGTGGCCAACGTATACAAGTTTTTACTACGCTTAAATATGGTCTTTGTTTACGACCAGTCTTAATAACTAATCTTCATAGATTTTGACGATTAGAGGAGGTATTGCTTGATTTTTATTCATAATGTATCAAAGTTAACATTATTAACAGCCGTTCTCACGGTCATATAATAGGTCACAGTCGACAAAAAACACAGTCGACGACAAAGACAAAATTCTTATAAAGGAAATATTTTTAGCTATTTTAGAGAAGTCTATGCGTACGGCAGTAAGACTGCTAAATTAGTATTATTAGACAAATATTCTTAGATGATTACACATAGAAATAACAAAAGAAAATCTCTAAAACTATTTTTTCATAGTATTTGGAAAATGACTAGATGAATGATTTTTAAGTGAAGCGATACTTATATGAAGTAAATGAAGTGTAAATAAACACTGATATGACAGAACGAAAAAAGACACACCTACATACAAATAGTTACACTGATAACTTGTTTGGTTTTGTACTTATGCTTGTAACCCGAAGAATAACAAACTCTCTCCCTTCAAGCCACATAAATATTTTTCGTCTGTTTTCCTTATTATTGTTACTGGCAGTCGCATCCTAGTTAAGTTACACCGTGGATATCGAAGTGTCAATATAATAAGCAAATACACTTTGTTCCCTTATGTGCGAAGCTGAAAAGCTCTCTAAATTACCTAATTAAAAAACGCTTATATTTATTCATACTCGTTCAAAATCATTATGAAAAGTCACAGATGACGTCACATTAAAATTGAATATACGAAGTTGCAAAATATCACGGATTAAAACACTCTTAGATTTCCTTGAGAAAACATTTTATCTTTATGAAAAATGAACTAGATAATGTAAGTTGAAAAGTAGATAGATTAAAGTACGTCTAGTGTCTCATTCGCTGTTCAATTTGTAGGTAGATGTAGAATTGTAGAACAAGGAAATATAACACCTAAATGTATTATAGTACTTTCATTTTACAAAAATTTTACTTGTAATTTTTATGTATATCTGAAAAGTATTATCACAATTGTTAGCGATTATTTCAAATGCGTCTTGCTTTTAATATTGTTGGTGAATATTTTTTACATTATAATCGCCCATAACCTAACCTGCTTCCATTGCCAACAGAATTCAGACATAGTATTGATGCTAGAAAGCGGCTATGTTAATGTGGATATGCCATTCGAGAAGAGATTCCTCTACCAAGCGCCGATAGTGAAGTGCTACGCTGACGCTATCGCCAATGAGTGTCCAAAGGCGTTCATTATTGTGTGTGCGTCACCGATCGACTGCATGGTACCATTGATCGCTGAGGTATATCCATTTGTTGCTAATGATAGTAAAAACTTCTCAAACTAAATGCAAAATGGCATTGTATTATCGGCTTCGATTTTACGCCGAAGTGACATCACGTGATAAAATATTTTGACGTTATTAAGGCATTTTTAGATTACATAAGTAAGCGTAAGGTGCATAAAACTAGCAAAGATACTTCTACTTCTACTTAAGAGAAATGATAAGGTCGCTGCAGACAGTAAAGAATTAAACACATACTCGGTGCCGCGAAGATATATTAGTTCTGGGGAAGATTAATGTATCTGCCATATGTGGCATTCTACGTTACAGAAACCAGCGTTTAAATTTCATCCATTGAAATATGTGGATAGTGTTAGGGCTGCTACAGACTGTGCCGACAATCTGTATTAATAAAAGCATTGTAACGAGTGAAGGAATTATAAACTTATCTAATCCTAAAATAAGGGTGCTTATTATGAATCAAATAATTAAATCAAGTTGAAGATTATTTTTTCATCTCCATACTCTAAAACAATCTAAAAATATAAGAAACCTTATCAATTCTTTGATACAATATTGTTATTTGGACGTGATGGGCAAAATGATCATTCGCAATCGATAAAAAAATTGACGGGTTGGAATATTTTCTACTAATATTTTCCCAAATCTGATAGTAGGATCCTAAAATAATTTCCAGGGCCTGTACGACGTATGACAATGGAAAAATACACGTTTTGAGACAAACAAGGACAAAATTATAATAAACGGATACGTAGGAGCAAAATAGACTCATATGAAGATAGTTAATTTAAATACGTAGTTTTTAAAATTCTTATATGCGCTATACGCTATTTCTTGTACTGAAAATAGATATTAGGTGTTCTTTAAAATTGTTTTAATATTTTTCCAAATAAGCCACACGATTCCCATTGCCGAATTTAGGCTTACCTCCAAAGATTTCCAGCAGGTCGATTGAAAAGAACCTACATCCATCAAATACCACCACTGTGATCATCATGCCACACTATTGGATTCTTTTGCGATGTTGAAAGTGTAGGAGACCATGTCCCAATCCCTCAATCTTCCAAAACCCCCTTATCCCCAAAAAGCTGGCACTTGCAACATGAGAACAGTTCATGTGTTTAGGTAACTTGAAAAAGTATGCCACCGTATAAAAAAAAATCATTTTTCCACCTTAAAGCCAAACGAACAAAGCTCTATATCGTCTCTATTAAAAACATTAAAAGTTCTTTATAACGCGATCATAAAGTAATAGAATTTTCATCGTTTTATTAGACATCAACAATTTACGAGTGCAGATACGAGCCATTAAGATGGTCTGATACAAACCTTATCGTAACTTCCGTGTTGTATTCAATTAGATGTTCATATTTCAACGTCATAAAGTTTATATTTGTTTACCATCTTCAATCTTTTTTTATACATAAAATCAGTCATTCATACTCTTTAGCGTTTTTAAACACTACATGCAATTATCATTCTTTTTCAAAGTCCAAAGGCTTCGTAGTTGATTGCTTTCTGTAAGGCAAAATCCTATTGCTCATTTTATTGTTCCATACCTAAACTCAACACTATTCAAATATCCTAACTTCAAAAAACACTAAAAACTTAGCCAACAGGCAAAGTCAGTTATTAGCCAAGTTATTTTCATTTTTAGAAACGTGTATATGCACGGCATTTAAAAAAAGAACCTCCTTTTTTGTATTCATTTAAGAAAGAAGCAAATGATACAAATTGCTGCAAGTAAACCTTTACAAACCTACACAAAATTTCCAATATACACGAGCAATCTTTGACAGGAAGATGAACTGGGTCGAGAGAGTATGAAATATCGGTCAGTTTTCCTTCAAAGTTAACCGTTGTCCATTAAGGTTGAAATAAATTCACACAATCACCAGAAAGCAAGTGATAAATATTGTACGTCCTTCCCTGGGGGCGAGCGTTCTCAATCTCGACTCGGATTGCGTTGTTCTCCAAATCCCATTTGTAACAAAAGAGGAATTTGTCAAAAAGGAGCATTGAAGACGTTGTATTGTGTAGGTACTGTTAAGATAATATTATGAAAACAAAAGTGTTGCCTGATCTCGTTTGAGATCTGTATTTGATGAAATGTGATTCTTACAAACAATAATTTTGTAAAAATATTTACGTTACCTTACCTGCGTCGGAAAAACCTTTTGTATATTTTGTTTTTAATATTCCCGCAATTTGGTGTCTAACAAAAAAAAATCGAAGATATTTATTTTAAGCAATTAAGAAAGTTTATATTGCAACTCCATAAGTGAACTACCATGTAGTGCTATTAAGCCAAATTGTGCCCGCTCTACCGCCGCGGCCATATTGCTGTTTAACTTCGTCGGTAATTCTGGAATGTCAATATTTACTAAGCGCAGTAATTGTCTGGCTAAATACGTTGCTTTGTTTACTATGATGCTATGTTCGTTCTAATTCATGTTACTCATCAATATTTGGAACCAAATTATTACCCTGTTTACTAGTAAAATTGATGATTAGCATCCATTTATGCAATTAAGGAATTATTGGGGATTAGCAAATGGAATTTGTTAATATTGCTTTTTCATGTTAAAAAAAAATTCGATTCACCTGTAGTAACAAGCGTGCTTCGAACATTTGGAATCGACAATGGGAATAGGCTACGCACTTTTAATTTTAATAACGACTGTCAGTATAGCAGTGCAGGCGGAGTTTGCGAAGACATTATCGGACGTTTTTGTTGCGGCTTTGTCTGAAGCTGACGTTCGCCTTTCAGTAAAAAGGCAACGCTTTTTTCTGCTGTTCGACGTCCAAACTTGTTTTTCTCGAACCGAGGAAAAACTTTGGGTTATTGGAAGTTTGTTCACGATTCCTATTCGTTTTATTTCCTAGCAACATCTTAGCATGTTTTGTGGCTTCATTATTGCGTTTTCTGAGTTTCTTTGTTCCAATCGCTTGTGGTTTATTAAACAAATAATGAGCTAGCATGGTTTTGTCACGCAACTTATAATATTTTATCGTTAATCTAAAATTTGCCTTATCTTCGGTCGGTTCGTCGGTAGCTGTTTTTGGGTCAAAGAACATTGATTATGTACATTGTTTCGTCAATGTGAAAATTTGTTCAGTGAGACGAAGGAATGTACATGCATAATTAGGGATGTTAATATTATGTTTTAATCTGTTTATTTTCAATAAGTAATGTTTAATAAATAAATTCGTTGACGGATTTCAAATTCATAAATATATTAAGAGTCTTGACATTTTTAATTTGCCGCTTTATCATCCACAACATACCTTCCTTCCTGTCCTTATAACTCCTTACCTTTCCCTACAGACGTTGAAAGAGACAGGCTGGTATGACCCAAACAAGTTGCTTGGCTCGTTAGCAGTGCCAGAGATGCGCGCGAGCACTCTCGCCGCGCGCGCCCTCTGTCTGGAACCACGGTACACTCGAGTACCATGTGTAGGCGGCACAGAGGGAGACACGCTTGTACCTTTATTCTCTAAAGCTGTTGAATACTTCGATTTTGCTCAGGTATTTCAATTATTATTTATAGCAGATTCATTAAAATATGTCTTAAAACGTAGTTTTGGCGATTATAATTAGTCCATTACACTAATCTAAACTTATTACACCGTTCCATGCTGTAATACTACGCCTCTTAACTAAATCAAACACATTTTCGCTAACACTAAATCGGATTTAAAAGTCAAGTCGGAATCCGTACAGTGTCGATCAACACAACTTTTATCCTAACGTACTTAAACCCGGCTTAATCCTCGGTACTAGAATAATCCCTGAAATCCCTCTTTCCTAGCACAATGCTGAAATGATGACGGAGGCCGTAAGGAATGCTCCGCTTGCGGTGTCGAGGTGTGACGGTCCTTGCCTGAGGGTAGGGGATCTTGGCGAGGCCCATGCGCTGGCTGGCCTGGTCACCTCCGTGGCACATGCGCTCTTGTGCCAAGACATTCCTAGAGTGACAGGTTTCGTTGAAACCGACCTTGGACAAATAATATCCCCTGCCAGGTTATTATCAACTCTTTTCTCTTTTCCTTTACGTATATGTTGACAATAGCACATTAAGCATTATGTTTCAGGCATTAAAAAAATTTTTTACTTGTTCAATATCTATTCGATTTTCTATTATTTGAGTATAGCTTGATGTACTAGTGTCTATACCTACTTGTTGCTAGATATTTTTTTAAGTGCTTACGCGTAAAATATTAGACTTTAATCAAGCCTGATATCCGATTTACGTATGGTGACCAATCGATTCGTTTTTGAAACATATTGTTGTGCGCGTGTTTAACACTACAGAAACCAACTTTATTTATGCAAAAAAAAAATTTACGAAAATATTTATTAGGTGAACATACGTTGCGTTGTTAAAAAGGATAAGTAATAGGATTGTTAATTAATGCTATTTGAAAGTTTCATAATCTATGTTTTGTAAATTGAAACAAAAATGGTTTTTGCTGGGCAACGTAAGTTACGTAATGGTGTAAAAGGTTTTAAATAGTGAGGGCAGTGGCTGCGTGATTGATAGACCCATTCATCAACGCCAGGCCAAAACCTTTTGGCGATGTACAGAATTTAGTACATGTCCACTTGAAAAACAATATTTATATATTTTTGGTAATTATTTTTGGTAATGTCAAGAAATTACAGTGAAGAGTAAACACTATCAAAGGCCTAACACGATTCATAAAACTACCTAAAATAATAAACTGCACTTTAACACGGGATAATCATTCTTTGTGATTCATGTTTGGCAGTTATATTTTGACATCAAAATCCATTATAGTCGCAATAAAAGTTTGTATCCAAAACTTTATTTTGGATATAAACTTTGCTTTGCTGTACCTTGCAAATCATTTTCGCGTAAACTCTAGCATTTGGAGATTAGGAACTCGTTCAGTGGTATCGTGATGTGATAGCAATAATGGAAGAGTACACCAAGATCTTCTGCCTCCAGATTCATCGCAGGCCCCGTGGACATTGGCGGCAGTGGCATCATCAGGAACCTCGGCTTACCGAAGATGACCGATCACGAAACCACTTATATGAATCTAGCTTTGACCAGTCTCGGCTACAAACAGAATATGGTGTATGACTGGTACAGTAAATACTGCAGCTCCTCGACCCGGCTCGACGCCTGTCAATTTGAATTTTTCTGTCCTAAATCTTATAATAGATTTGACGACTGTGCTTATGCTAATGTGCAATAATGTGTTTGTATCGTGGGTGTCTTCCTAAATTCTTGTAAACGTTTGGTGAGGTTTTCCATTTTCTAAATGAGCTTCAGTGTGTTGTTTTTTCTTTTAATAAAGTGTGATTTTATCGATTTAAGCGTGCTGGTTTCTTTTCTTTTGTATGGTTCCGTAGAATTATACTCAATTTTTTTAATCAATTTCTTCATCGCAATATGAAAGATAAAAGAAAAATTAAATGACATATTTCAACTACACAGATTCGTCGCTTCAGACGTACTACTGGATCATAAGGGGATATGCAAGAAGATGAGCTTTCCTCCAAAATTAAATCCTTTCGAACTGAACTTACTCGACGTATCGCTGAGTGAAGTAATGTCTCACTATGAAATGGCAATGGAATGGTATCTAGATAATCTAGTAAATGTGACCCCCAATATGGTAATGCAGAAGAAATTTCAAACCCCAAAACAATTTGAACGCCTTGACGATTGTGCTGAGTTTCTAGTGTAAAAAATACGCACGTGTGACTATGATGGTCTTGTTATTCTGTAAATGTCCGACGTGTGATGACGACCAAAATTTGTCCGCACAGTACATGAACGAAGTTTGTTGTTGCTGTCTGTGAAAAGCGTTTTATAAAGAATTTCTTATAAAAGAGTAAATTGAAAAAAATAGTAAATATAAATAAATAAAAAATACGTCGTATTTGAATTAACAATTTTTTACATATCTGGTAACACGTACGTGTTAGGCGCCGTAATTAAGAAAAAGCTTCGTTTTTCGGGGCAAAAATCTGGTTGTCTGTCTAAATAAATTCTTGTAAGTTTTTTTGCTTAAAATGCTTGTTTTGTGCGAAAAAATAAATAAAATGTGGTTTTGCCAATATAAGTCTGCTGTTTTATTTCTTTTGATTATTTCTTTATTTTCGTATTGAAGATATTACTAAATTTATTATTTCAACTACACAGATACCTCGCTACGGACTTGCTACTGAACCATAAAGGGGTTTGCAAGAGGTTGAACTTCCCTCCCAGACTTAATTCTTACGAACTGAGCCTACTAGATAAATCACTGTCTAAAGTTATGTCTCGCTATGACCTAGTAATGGATTGGTATGATTCAAACATAGAAAATATGACCAGTCATATGATAATGAAAAAGGAATTTTCTTCACCAAGGCGTCTTGAACGCCTTGAAGATTGCACTAAGCATTTAGCAGAATAAGTTGGAAGTCAGGGCAAAATGACCCAAAACTGGGTCTGTGGACATCTGTTAGACAAAGAGGACATCCAAAACTGTTCAGGAAAATACACAAATCAATCGTAATGTCACAATGCAAAAACAAACGAAAACAGTTTTGTGAGTCCTCGAGACAGAGCGTAAAACATACCAAAATATGTCAATGGTCCAAGTTTGTTGTTGCTGTCTGTGAAAATCGTGCTGTAACAAATTTCGTAGAAAATTATAAATAAAAAAAAATTGTAAAGTAAAAGTAAAATAAATAAAAAGTACTTGATTATTAATTTAACTTTTATTTACATCACTGGTAACAATTATTTGCACAATAACCGCGCTATGGTCCGTTTCTTGCAAAGGGTGGCCGCGGATTCGTTTTGAAATACATTTTGCCGGACATTCTGGAAAAAAAGTATGTAATCTATAAACAATGCAGATAACAAATGTATATTGCACAAAGAAATAAAGGATCAAATCTCGGCACTGGTATAAGGCACAAAAATTGCAATAACATGGTAATCTCGTTGATCCAGTGACTGGGTATCCTACGTAAACGGAATTTGTACGCAAACAGAGTCCCTATTAAACGAAGGACAAACCAAAACGCGACAGGGCTATCTTATGAATCATTGGACAATTTTTTTTTTAAATAACGTTGCCCCACACTAGGATTTTCTCCTGTGTTGTGGGTGCATTTACAAACATACAATTTGACATTACACATCACACCCAGACCCGAAACAACAATTTGTGGATCACACAGTGTTGTTCCGTGCGGGGATCGAACCCGCGACACGCGACACGGCAGTTAGTTTGCCCAGCCACCGCGCCAACCGTGCAGTCGAATTGTTTCGCCATTTTAATGAGGTCCAAACCTCTCATCTGGAATTCCCCCTATCCAAAGACCGGAAGTGCAACAACTCTTAGTGTTGCAGGTGTCCACGAGCAGCCCAGATATGTGCCAAAAAAACATTTTTTTGACATTGAACAACCTTATTATCGAATTAGAATGATTGGCATTGGTCTTACATTAGCTCTATTAATTAAATAGTTTTGGAACACTAAAGTACCTCGTATGCACTAGTGCACTGGCCTCAAATATTGACAAAGCATGTGTGCAGAATCACAGTTTTCAGTCAATTGTAACGAAAAGGTCCAAAAAACCTATTATGGGTCGCTGTAAAATATGTTCCGACAAAGGTCAAGTAAAGGTTAAGTTCCATATAATATCGTTCAGTCAGTTAATCTTTTAATTTTTCTGGAAAACAAAAGTAAATGCCGAAATGGTAATTAAGTCTTGTTTTATTGTACGTATTTTTTTATTACAAACTTTACACAACTTTAAATGAATAACCGTCAATGTTACACTGCTATAACGTTATCCCTTGAATGTTTTTGCGCTTCATTTTTATTTTTCATAAGTATAAGCTCACGAGTTATTTTTGGCGCATTGTGACGATGCCATTAAAATCAGACATGTTGTGAAAACCTTTACCTAAAAATTCCAAACATGTCTATGTTGATATCTACCGGAATATTTTTATTTTTTTAGCCATATTAACCCTACTCAGGAATATAGGTCAGTATTAGCACCCCTGCCCGTAGACACACCATAAAAGTGTACTGCTGAACATAGAAACCCTCATCCAAAGCCCCATTATGGGCATATCTTGCTGAGTACTCACATAATAATCGTTTTACTACAAGCAAACAAAATAATATGGTGCTTTTATATTATATAATAGGGGTTATTAATTAGTAACCCCAATTGGTTCGAATATTGGGGTATAAATGTAATTTAGCCTTCTCTGGGTTAAATTTTTTGAACGTATTATGTAATGGAATATAATTTCTTTGTGTGAATGTGAGAGCTTCGGCTTGACTGAGTCGGAGACCGGATTGATATCACGGCCTTACAGATAACCAGCGTGAAACAACCATAGCGCTTTCTATCGCCGTGTGAGTGGGATTAACGTAGGCCCAATTCTGAGACTACCCCCTCCCCCCCCCATTCCCCATAACGTCGACATCGCACTCGTAATTCTTTCGTTGTTGGGCGCTGATTGCTGACCATCAAGAAATCTGTCTGCCGCCCTATCAGATAAAAAAACTTTCATTTGAACCAAACAGCTTGCAATGACCATCCCCCTTTAATTAAGGTTAGGATCAATCGAATTAAATAGAGCAGGAGGAAGCCAGATAGCAAGATACTTACGGTGGTGCAGCAGCTATGCCCATATATCCATCCACTTGAAAACTACATGGTCTTGTAGCAGATGTCCAGTCTCGACACAGTGTGGCTGGAAACCCTCGAGGGTTGCTCAAAGACTCGGAATATAGACGCCAAGCACGGACATGACTGCAACCATCTGGGGAGAAACGTCTGTTTCAATAATTTGGTACACGGAAAACTCGGTCTTACTGTGCCAGTGATTGAATTTAATATCCCTTGGGATTTTCGTGTTCAGTCGATGGTTAGCATGATTAGGCAGTTTGTGCTAGTAGGTATCTGTTCTTTTGTTTATTTGTTTTATAGATTTGAAGGAGTTAATGCGATGATGTTTCTTATACCAAATTTACTAAAAGTGGTTTGTCATAATAAAAAATATATATTTATAAGTAAATCATATAAATAAATGTAATCATGTTATGACTGATTCTACGTCTATACAAACAAGTCTTCAAATACTGAGCTGACCTTTTTAAAGGATTCATTTGAAAGGTCAATTTTTGTCCTTTGCCTTACATTTCGACATTCATTCTTTTATTTATGGAGTTTATTAATTTACCCTTCCAAGAGTTTCCAGAGCCCTCTGTTTGCACAATACAAAAGTTATCTCTGATCAAACAACATGTTTGTTGAATACAAGTGGGTTATCATTACACCCACACGGAGTACTTTTTAAATCCCACGCGACAAGATGAATAATCAAACATGGAAATTAAACACTAATATATTTTATCCCTTTTTCCTTTGTTTTTACTTACTGAATCGGCGTGTGAAAAATTTCTGTTAGAGCATATGTAAGTTACAATCATGTCATTTTCGGCTTTAACAACCAGTTGCATATGAACTCAGTTGCAATGCCTATAGTAAACAAAGGGTGAATTAGTTTTCAAGGTTTGTTTTTCCTAATCATATGACAAAAAAATAAAAAAAAATACACGATTTTCGATCTTGATAAAAATCTAAAGTGGAAAGGACTGACAAACTTGAATGTAGATTGTAGGGAACAATCTAATGATAAATTCTTCGGAACTCACTTTGATAGTTGTAAGACCTTACAATGCGAATATTGTTGATCAAAAGCTATCTGATCACTAGCTCGATCCACTAAAACAGCTGTCTTATACATTGGCAAATGAAGGGTGACAACATACTAGAGCAAAGCGCATAGGATTTTTATAGGACCAGATGAAATCCCGATACGACCGTTAAGGCTAAGGCTGTATTCATTTATTTCACACCAAGTAGCCTAACAAAGCCCATTATTGTTATTTAACACGCCGAAATAGGTTTGAGGATTAACCTACATATTTCGTCAGTAACCCACTACCATTTAATTCCTTTGTATATTTTGTAAGGGAAAGAATACGGTGCCTATAACTAATCTGCTATTGACATTTTGTTTAACGATCAATCTTTGGCTCTGAGCCAAGTGGTGGCGTACCTACGACGTTTTGATAAAATATGAGGTTATCGCATTTTAGGGTTGAACGAACTAAATTGATAAACTGTTCCGTGTTTCTAACTTTTTTCAATTGGTCTTAATTTTTAAGAAAAATATACTTATCATTTTAATGCTTTCCTTCCATCTTCCTTTTAATTCCAACGGCTGTTATCAAAACCTTCAGTCGCATTTTTTTTTTTGACTTTCACAAGGTTTGTATACCCGCTTTGTACCAGATAAGTTTGAAAATAGAATGTAATTTGTATGAATTATGTGTCAAATTGTATTGGCAACGTTTACCAAGATCGTGAAACAGAAGAAGAAGTAATCAAAGCTGATGGCCTAGTGCAAGTGTGGTTTACTTAAAGGCGATCGACAAGTTTGACGTTCGGCGCTCTGATTGGCCTGCTGCAAATTAACCAATCACAGGAATGACGCGGTAGGTACCGTTTGGATTGCGTTAACGTAAACGAACTTGCACTAGGTACCTAGCTAAAACCTTATAAACCTTAAAAAAGGTATCGACCATAAAAAGATTCCAAAGCTGTTGGCAAAATCCTTTTCAAAGTGCACAAAATTCTAGATACAATTGTATATTACGTTAAGCAAAAGAGCCGTACCCATCTTCATGAATAGTTCAGAATTGTTTTTCTTTATCCAAGGAAACATTTTTGAATCATAATTACTAGTTGTGGTGGAGCCAAGGTTAAGTTTGAAGTGTGTGAGAGGCATGCTTTGGCACGATTGTGTGTTCGACTGAAGTGATACCACGGCCTCCACCGAAAACCGGCGTGAAACGACCACAGCATTGAGTTTAGCCGTGTGAGTGAGGCCCAATCACACCCCTCCACCAATCCCTAAATCCCGAAAATCCCTAAAAGGTAAGCAACGCACTCGTAACGCTTTCGTTGCTGCGGGTCCGTGGGTGGCGCTAATTGCTTACCATCAGGGAACAGGTATATTTTTTGCCGTCTTATCATCATCATCATCTTCCTGCCCTTGTCCCGTTTTATTTGGGGTCGGCGCAATATGTTTTTTTCTTCCATTCTGTCCTGTCACTCGTCACGCTATCGCTAACTCCTCTGTCTTCCATATCACTTCTCACGCAATCCATCCATATTTTCTTTGGTCTCCCCCTCCCTCTCCATCCATCCACATTTATACTCATGACTTTTTTTGTTACATGCTTTTCATCCCTCCTTTTCACATGGCCATACCAAGACAAACGGTTCCCTTTCATGTATTTCATTTTTGCCGTCTTATCACATTAAAAAAAATTAGTTTTGAACAGGTCAACAACCAATATCGGTATAAGATTATTTTTATTGTTTTTTTTTATGTGTAGTGAAGGAAAAAATCGTGAGTAAACCTGAATTATTAATCGTATTACTAAGTTTGGAATCGCCAATCCGCCTTTAAGGTTGGTGATTAATTAGTACTTTTTCTAAAATGCCTTTCAATAAAAAGCTTTTATAGTTTTTTTTTTAAATCTTACTGTTACTAGTGTTAAATATCTAGTAATAATAACAATAACTTTAAAATCTTGACACGATATTTACGAAACAAAGTTAGTTTAAACTTGCCAATAGCTTTTCTTCTGGCCTACACCCAACTAGGTTGGGGCCAGCAGAAAGTCAGTTTATGATTGAAAGGTAAAACATTGAAGATCTTGAGGCTACAAAAGTACTCGAATATGATTTAATTTAAATAAATCTTTGATTTGAATATATAAACGAGATAGGACGCTATGAATTCTATTAATATATCTTCTGAATAAATACATAAATTCTTTTTACTCTTAATTTTATCGAGATTATCGATGAAATTAAGGGTTGTCAAAGAATAAAATAAGCACTGAGGAACAGTTTGAAGTCCTGTCATGGTTGAAGTTACCGTAAAATCATTTTTTTTCCTAACGATAGTGTTGCACATTGCTTTGCCACCACAGCAGTGGCGGCGACGCAAAACAAATAAATCAATCTCAAAACGACAAACAAAAAGTGAAGTCTAATATATAAACGAAGCAATGATCGATCGACAAGGCTATTAGCCACGGACTCGTCTCTCCATTCCACTTAATTCACAAAATTATACGAGCCGTTTCATGTCAAAAGGTTCACGCACACTTTACGAGTGGCCCAAATTATTTCGCATTATCACTCTTAATTAATGTCCTTTCATAGACGGGCATAAAGGCTATATTTGCGTGCATAGTAGCTTCTAAAAGTACCTACGGGTCGTTTCGATTTTTTAACGAACTGTACCTGTTATGGCTCGTAAATGTGGTTTGATAGTTTGCGACGTGTATACAAATGTGGACTTAATTGTAAAATGTGGAAAGAGTAAAAATGCGTATAATGCCATCCTGCAGACTTTTTGTTGTGGATTGTGTTGGGTATCATAAAACTAAATCATTATCTTAGATCAACAATCACATTACAACAAATTATGTCGATTATTACCGTTCCATTTTTAAATACTCTCTAAATAGGTATCACCATTACAAAATCGCAAAAACTATACAATTTCATACCATACCATCAATTCAAAACTTCATATTCTGCAATCAAGAAGTATCCATTAACATACTTTTAGTTTTTAGACTAAAACACTGCGTGCTTGTAGGAGAAGTTGAAGGATCGCAAAGTTACGGAGTAGTACAAGCACCTCTCAAGTAGGGCTCACTCGTACGAGTAATCGCTAGTGACTTCCAGCGGCTTTACTCAACACGTATTTATGTAACTTGGACGAAATAAAGTTTAGATAATCCCATTCTTTATTAGTAATTTTGATTAGATATCTTTTTCTTCTTTCTTCAACAAAGCTAAATGTATTTTTATATAAAGAAAACCTCGCATAAAATCGGAGAATACCAGAAACGGCGATGACTTTAGCCTGATAACCCAAAATTACAACGCAGCGGTGCCCCTAGCGACGCGACTGGCAGAAAAAAAATACCTTGTAATTTAATTTCAGCAAAAACACGAACGCTAATAATAGCTTTTTGAAAGGCAAATAATCGGAGTTGGCGTACTAGTGACTCCCCTGTCTCGTCCTTCGTGCCCCTCCCCGCAGCATCCGCGTGTGACGTCAGAGCATCGATCGCTCCCTCTCGCCGAAATGTGCGGTTGTTAGGGTTGCAACATCACACTATCATCAGCTAACGCGCCAAATTTGACGGGAAATTGGCTTAGTGCAAACTAAATTGTTTATTGCGGCTTCATTTGTTCCCAATCTATCTGCGGCTGAATACTGCATTGTTCGTTACTACACGCAAATTGATAATTAAATAGAAATGTTGTGAAATAGAGGCGTATATAAAATCTGGTATTACACACCTCAGCAATCGTGCTCTGTTATTTGCGAAAACATTTATCAACCCTGTAAAGGTCAATGTCAATCTCTTCTAAGTAAAAAGGTTATGTAACGTAGTTTTTATGCTTTCTACCAAACTGGCTTCGAATTGAGCTTGAGCTAGGGTTTACGAAGCAAACGCTCTTTTTTTAAATTCCGAATCGTTTTTTTTTTATTTTCAATGGGTACAGATAATTTATGCAATCTAGTGATTGACTGTCAAGGAGCGTTGAAGCGAGTCACTCGATTCGAATAAACACAACAATCCTTCATTTTTATTGAACAATGTTTTTGACACAAAAAGGAACAAGTGGCTTTTAACGAGACCTTTACGTTCATTGGAAAATAACAATATAACAATTTGTTGCGACTAAACATAATGTATTTCGGATTTTGGTAACAATTGAGTAGACTTTTGCCTTTCTATGTTTTAAGGACTCCGACCACTACTTCAGTAAAGTACTAAAGTACTTGTAATGTTTAAAAACTTAACATTCCATCTACGAGAAAACTTTCCGGTTATACTAGAAAGATTCATCCGCAGTACACTGAATATTCTATCAAAAAAAGTTGTCCAGATTGCCTAGATACATTTTTGTTCTTTTTAGCTGTGCAGTGCACTCGCTCAGATTTCTTCTTCAATAATTCAATGACTACAGTTATGTTTTGCTAGAACCTACCTTGACTACGTACTGGTTGTTCGTGCGTTCATACTTTAAAAGAGAAATAAACTTTATGGACTTTGAAAAAATTCTCAAAGAATTCTGTTGATTCCGTAAATGTATTTATATCTGTAAAATCTCCATAATAATACTTACATACAAACTTTACAGAATAAGAATAAATAAGAACATAATTTTATTTTGGAATATAATATCTTAATTCAAACACGTGTTGAAACTGATGATCCAGTAACTTTTGTTTGAATCACAAATGTTACAGTAAAATAGCCTTTAAAACCATCAAAATACTCACAAACAAACCGAAACTCCCGGTTTCTGAAGAGCTCGTCTACCCAACAACCCGGTTGGATCCAGCTGCCAGGGTTAGCATAAAAGTCCACGTCTCCGATTGGCCGTAGGAACCCAAACACTCCCGGGTTCGTATGCAAGACGTCCACGAAGGCTGCATCTCCTTTGGCAAGATGACCGTCATTGTTTGATAGGCTGTAGCCGGGATAGGCTGGGTCTAGCCCTGGAATTAGGGGACAAGAATTCGCTTCAATCAATTTGTAAAGATAATAGACATGATAAAAACGAAACCGAAATCTATCTATATGTATGTGATAAGGTGCCAAACGAGGAGACGAATTATCTGATGGTAAGCAACCGGGGCCTCTCACGGTAACATGATTACTTGAGCGCAACATTAAGGGAGTTTGGGGATAAGAGTTTTTAGCGTTATAGGGATTGGAAAGGAATGGGGGAAGGGAACGATTGGACCTCCGGTAACCTCAATCACACAGCAAAACACAACGCAGTGGTTGTTTCAATACAATTTTCTTTAAGACCGTAATATCACTTCGACTGAGTTGGCTTAGCAAAATAGCAGCAGCCAGCAAAATAGATCGCATTCCATAGATGAAAAACAATTCAAAATGTATAACATAATAACTATTATATTACATAATTCATCTAATCCCAGATATTATCACTTATTGTTCTTCCATTGTGTCTAGATTTACCACGATTGAAAGGTTAATAGTCTATTTCAATTGTAAAATTATTTCTGGTTAAAAGTAAATTGCTACATACTTATTAAGTAACTTCATCTTTTCATTTAATATCCATAATGGTGGCCTTTTATGAAAGGAATATGAGTATTAAATATTAATGATATTGACTACTGACATTAATACCCGCGTTGAAACAGTTTTATTTATTTGATCAGCCTACAATTAACGTCCATGAGGTTATTTAATAATTCTCTGTGGATAAATGAAATGATACAAACATGAAATGCAGCGGTTTGACACTTTTTAGTGTTGTTCCTTTATTTATGCATGTGTGACTGATACGTATTCAGTGGTTCTTTATTTATTGACAATAATGAAAATAAAATCCAAGCGAAATCTGTTTTAGTGTTTATTGAAAATCTTATTAGTTTGTAGACTCAGATTAATTTTAATTTAATACTAAAAAGTATTCGTAACCTACGCTAATTTATAAGTAATTTTGATTAATATTTGAAGCCCTAAAACTATACTAATCTAACTACACTGAATTCAAACAAATTGTTTAGTATCTCAAGATACTAAACAATTCTGCAAATGGGAACGCATTCGCCTAAGTAACCCATTTGTTATCAAACCAAGTTCATATCTCACCGGTAATCCTGCCCAGTAGCAACCCTCGGGCCCGCAAGTTCTTGCCTGCAAACCCTGCGGCTTCAGCGCCTAGGGAAAACCCAACCACGTGGATAGACGAGGCTGGAACTCCAACGGAATCCAAGAATCGAATAAAGTCTGCTAATTTTCTTCCCATATAACGAGTGTTCCGGACTGCCGTAATATACCTGGGAAAGTACATAAAAATTTAAAATTTAAATGAAATTACATTGAAATAAAATAAAAGTAGTATATATTTCTTCCTTTCATTTTGAGTTTCAATTAATTCAGTTTGTGTATTAATCTGTAATTCTTCGAATTCGGTATTTGCTATTTAACAATGACATTGATTGTTCATTGCATAAACTATTTACGTCAGTAATAATATACTCAACTTACTGCCTTGTGAAACCATATATACTCTTACTATACGTAGATAATTCGGAGATACATTAAAAACTAATTCTTTACAAACATTTGGACGACTCTTTATTTAAATGTACAATTTGTGTGCATCAAGCACACGTAAACATTTTTATTGCAACATTAGCTACCTACTGCGCCAAACGGAACTACTCCACGTTCCAATCCCCGAACACATTAAACCGGTAATTAATGAAACTGACCAAAATTAATTGCTGGCGAAACAAAAACGGCGAAGAAAAACGAAAACGGCCCATAATTCGTGAATTTGGGAAGGGGTATAAATCTAGGGGGATGTAGTTGGCTGGAAGCCACTGGGTTGTAAATAAGGGAAGCATAAGGCTTATAGGTAGGTCCTAAGGGGCGAATGTGGGGTCATATTTGTCCCTCACGTATGGATCATGACGTTTCAGTGCCACGTTAAATGCTGTTACAACTGGATTTCGCTCATACCCGGCGTTTATTTCGCCGCAGTCATTTGTTTCCCGACTACGATGTGGCGTCGTAACTTCTGTTATTATTTGACTTTTGTAGTCCTTAATTAAGTGTTCATTTTGAGTTTTGTGTGATTTTTATTTTGTTTGGAACTGTTATATTTTTAACGTTGAATGTAGTAACGGTGATTACAAAGTCCGAGAGTCGTTACTTGGAATGATTAAAGCAGCTACCAAATTTTTTTTTTTATGTGTAATAGGAGTAAAATGTTCTCTAACTCAATTAAATAAGCTTCATATTTATTATTTAAATGCGTCGAGTCTACGTATGAAAGACACGATATAAATTATATAACAACGATGATAACTATCACTTAATCTATCCTATCAACTATCAATCACCATGAAATTGCAGGCTATTTTATACAATGATTATGCTATTACGCACCATGGAAATACCATAAGTCGTGACCAATCAACTGCGATGAAATTGTAGTTTCTTGCCGCTAAGTGCGCTGAAAAGAATAAAAAATAGAAGTGTCAAACTTTGTTATTTAAATAGCGAAGGATGATTTTGAATCTGTTATTTTTTTACTTTTTATTTGGATCTATCTATAGCAGAATATCAGGTAAGTATAACAAATTCCTGGTTTACAAGTTCGGAGTCGAAAATATACTTCTCGGCCTGGGCGTATACTTAAAAAAACCGTATTAGAAATCAAACAGCCACTAAGAAATTTCGTCCTGAACCGGAAACATTGTGCTATCACCTAGGCTGTAGCATTTAAAATTTTTCGATCAGTAATAAATTTTGATGCATTTTATAGCGGACAATATTATAAACAACACAAAAATATAGTAATTCTGTCTTCCTTATTTACAAAACTAATTTGTGCTCTAGCCATACCATAAACATAACAATGACATTGTCTATGTCAATAAAATCGTTTTATTACACATCACTACTATGTTTGCTTGCCATAAACGTCAAATTATACCAATAGAGGTGTACTCCATATACCAATTAACTGTGATTAACACAATTGGAGTGAGGTTTTTTTGCCTACTTTGTTTAAAACGATAACTTTTAAATAATGTTTTTTATTTCAATTTTTATTTAAAACAGCTATTTACATTAGCAAATATGGCGCTCCGTACACAAGAATGTTAATTGTTGTGAATCTTTTGTATTTAGTACATTGACGTCACGCTATTGATTTCTTAAAAATTAAGTAGAAAATGTCGAGAATGATATACATATCTACCGCGAAATCAATGAATGAAAGAATAACTTGTTGTTTAATATTTTCTTGTATTGAAAAGTCCTTATAATCAATTTTACTGAGGAAACTACCCCATTTTAGAATCATCAAGGCACGTGAACTTATAGTTTAACATATTCAACATGCACTGGCACCGCATGACATAAATTAACTCCACCAATACTGCATTCATCGGAATCGATTACAAATGCGGTGTTATATCAATTACGGTCTAAAAATAGAAACGTATGTATGTTTGCACTACATTCCAAACATGCGATGTTGACACCGTTCGAATGTGTATCACTATATTCACTTAAATGATTTCTCCTGGAGACATTTTTAAGAATCAAAATTTATACTTTATTACAAGTGGACAATTGTAGTAGTGTCGATCGAGTGGTGTAGTCATCTTGTAGTAGTCTTGATCTACATATATGAGTATAAATGGTAAAGACAATGTAAGACTATTATTTTCAAAATAAATATATTTGAAATAATGATTATATTTTTATAATTATATTTGATATACCTGCTAAAAACGTCAGAACCTCAACCAAGGTACATGTTTAAGAACATCATCCATAGTAAAAACTCCATTATAATATCAATAATTATTATGAATGAACTCGTATAACCATTATCGTGTAGCAAGAAGCAATTTGTAACCCTTCACACGTGAGGTGCTACGCCGTAGTCGCCTCGTTATCGTCTACGAGCTACGAACTTACGAGTGGTCACGGCATGCAGGTGTAGATGACTCCGTAGTAACACTGCTACGGAAATTAACTTTGAAAATTTTAACTCATCTCCGCCTTAAAATGTTTAAGGAGGGAACGGAGGTTAAGACGCCCGTTTCTTCTACTTGTGGGTGCGAGTTCGAAACCTAGGAAATGCCTTATAAGCCACATGTGATTTTGTCCCAATCATTTGTGCTTTCTTAGTTGAGCAACGGTAAAGAAAATATCGAATGGAAACTTAGACTTATAATATGTAATTACAACTTTAAATTGGGCAATACGCCTTGAGCAAGCCTCATATCTGTTTCTGCTTAATACTGAAACCTTCTCCATGTGAGAAGAGGCCTTTGCTCAGCAGTGGGCACTAATACGCTGATGTGTCTCACGTTATACAAAAAAATAAAACATTATGTACTAAAATAAGTCAACATTTTCTTACTGCTGTACTTAAGAAGAAACTTCAGACGAAGAAAATGTATGGTCGTAAAATAAAAATTCATACAATTACAAATCAGCTTACGACTTCTAGTCAAACATCAGACTCAATATCAAAATCGTCATTAAAAAATAAGTATACAAAAACGTTCAACGCTACCAAAAAGACTGTTTCTCTTACCATTCCTGACAGTGGTGGTTCCGACTCCACTAGTAGACTCGGAGAACCCCATCAGATATATCACCGTAGGATTTGAGAAGTCAAATGACGTTCTCCGTAAGGCATTTAAGTCATTTGGCGGTATTATTTGAAACGTGGTGGGGTTTGACCTGGAAAAATAGAAAAGTTTTTATTGTACTTTTGTATTTGTAATTGATTGGTTTTTTTTTCATATTGTCAGATCAAAAGTTTTCTATGATCTAAGTACGAGATTGCTACAAAACAATTAACATGCAGTAAATCATATAAATAATGTCAAATCGGAGGCTTAATTATTCTACCCCTCCCCCAATCTCTAAAACTCCTAAACCCTTATTCACAAAGGCCCGCATCTCCACTTGTGTGTGTTTATGGGCGGCGTCGATTGCTTACCATCAGGTGATGCGTCTAGACGTTTACACATAAAATATAATTAAATGATATTTTTTGTTTATATTTCTTCTTGCAATGTTAACTTAAGCCAAATGTATGATGGAGACGTTAAGTCGGTATAGTATATAATGTTTTCGGCATATATGACAAATGGCTCACATAGTTAATGTTTCCATAAGACTCATAATAAAAATGATGTGTAAAAGGAACGTTGCTAAAGGTTTATATACACATATGTACCCCTAATTTATACGAGTTTAAAAGACATGACGTCACTTTTATAATATCCCTTGTGAAAAGAGTACCTAAACTTAAGATGGTATGATATTTCTACTTAAGTTTAATAATTAGGGTTATAGAAAAAGTTTTATACCAATTAATGCTTTACCATTCATTGAGTGAAGTGGTATATTCGAACTTATTCAAGTAAGGAGTTTACAAAAAGTTTCAAAGGTCAACCCGTCAATTAAGCGAAAACGGCTTACGATATAGAAACTTTTCATAGCAACTTTTGCAATGAAATTAAGAAGTTATTTAATTGATTGACGTGACCTACTGACAAATATATCTCAGTTTAATCTTGTTTTATTTATAGACATCATTATATTAATTTCATTACGTTGTGTAATTCACGTATTTATTTACCAAATTTTCACAGCAGACGGACATTTTTGGACAGCAAACGGTCAGACTGACCTGACGGTAAGCAATCAGCGGCGCCCATAGACACCCACAACACTACAGGTTAACTCCTGTAGTGTTGCGGGTGCAGTGCCCTAGTGCGTGAGGGCCTTTTGGGAATCAGGATTTTAGAGATTTCTAGATTGAGAGGGATTGGGGAAGGGAAAGAAGAATTGGTTCACACGGTGAAACACAACGCTGTGGTTGATTCCGGTTTATTACAAGGCCATGGTATCACTCCTGTCGGATGACCCACTCGTGCCGATACATGGCTCTCCCCTCGAATTATATAACTAAGCTACTAAATTGCCAATCTTATTCATTCAAATACTCGAAGAACTTAACAGAACGACTGGTGGTATTTTCGTAATTCAAATTATAAACAATATACCTAGCCTAGTCCATTTCAACGAGCACACGATACCTAATAATTTTAAATGTCCACTGTTTCAACAATATCAATTCTTCATTCGTGTACATTTGAAAGTTTGCTGTCACGAATATGACGTCACAGCCGACCCCTCATTTTGAAGTCCATTTCCTAATAACGTACGGTCATGAAATGCTCAGCCCTGATGTTGGCCTAAACAAAGGTTACAGCAATTACGTTGCACGTCAAGTGAACAAATGCTTGCATGCGCTGCCTTGCGATTGAACCTGCTCGGTCATATGGCGCCCTGGTACATTTTTTCATTATATTTTGGTTTAAGTTGGAATTTTCTTACTTCATATTAACATTAGCGTAGATCGGTTATTTAGTTTTCTTCGGGTGTATTGTAATATAATAATAGCTAATATCCCAGCTTATATATATACATATATATAAATAAGTATGTAGATTTCTTTGTTAATTAGGCACCTTCATGTGCACAAATAATTTTCTTGAAGTTTTACATACATCACACAGAATTGGGAGTACGGAGTTCATTCAGGTTATTTACGTGGACAAAAATGCAGGACAGCTAATCTCTAAATAATTATTTTAAAAACTGTAGTACTTACGCTGACTACTACCCAAAACCACTATTACCGGTTGGTGTCGTTGTCAGCTGCTTTGTTATGCAAAATCATTAATTAGTGTTTCATCATTATTTTTGCGCATTCAATTTAACTGTTTATAAATCAATTAGGCATTTGATAAACCATTTTATTTGTTTAATTGAAATTAATTATCTATTAAAACATATCTCGATAAATCAAATACATCAATGATTTTGCACCACCTATCGTTGAAAACAAATTTACGAACCGCCAAAGGGATATCTGTTTTATAATCATGAGCTACGGTCTAAAATCGTTTGCAGTAGGTACCAAAATATTTATCATTTTCAGCCTGTAAGTGCCAACTGCTTAACAAAGGCCTCTTCTCACACGGAGAAGGTTTGAGCATTAATCACCACGCTGAAGGCGGATTGGCGATTTCAAGCTTAGAATTGGAAATTACAAGTCTAGGTTTCCTCCCGATATTTTCCTTCACCGTATGTCAGTGGTGTCTAAATTTCTGTTAAAACTTATACATATATATGTACTTTCTATGGTAATTTACAATACTTGCCAGGTTTCGAACCTGCGTCCTCACGCATGTGATGCCTTTGGGCCACCACGACGTTTATCCAAAAATAATTACTCTCACACGGTTTCACCCGCTGCTCAGCTCCTACAGATTATAGCGTAAAGTTTATATACATGTTTATGCTGTAGCCTAGCCGTTCTCGATAAATGGACTTACAAACACAAAAAGTATTTTTCAATTCGAACCAATAGTTCCGCAGATTAACGCGTTAAAACAAACAAAGGTCTCCTTTATAATATTAGTATAGATATTTGCCTTAATATTTTGATAACTTGTCATGCATATAAAACTGAAATGTAAACATAATAAAAAGAAATGAGTGGAATCATTGAAGCTCGTAACATTTATTGGACTACGTTGGGTCCGCTGCGGAAATTGGGCCTTCGACCCGTGGCCCTGAGCTCGAAATGCGAACTGTTACGTCATTTTGGTCGCCAAATGTACTGCCACTGAGGTTACCTCCTTATCTATACGCGATAAAACCTTATCGGCAACCTTTTCATATGAATTTTAATTGAATTTCTATGTTATGTTCTCAGTGGAGCAGTTGCGGAATATTTCAATGTTTGAGGTGTTTAAAAGAATGTGAATGTATCTAAGTTCTTACATTAGACACAAGTTTAGGAACATTATCACAGTATGTAAGTTCAAGAACTTAGATACTTATACACATTTTGTTCTGCCCCGTACTGGCAGGTTCCAAACGATGTTCCATATTACCTACTATTTATTTCCCGCAATTTTGTTTTGTTATCTCCGTACGTCTAACTTCAAGCATACGTATGTGTTATAAGTGGTTTCTTTCTGATAGCAATTTGATTTCTGTACGGATTGCAGTTCTAGCCTACCTCCGTACACTCTTCATCACTTTGAGAAATTCAACTATTTAATTAAATAACTTATCATTCAGACACTTAAATGGATAGTGAAGAAGTATATTTGTTTTGACCAAACGAAAAAGGTTAAAATCAAGGTTACTATTGCATTTCTTGTTTGGAATATACATAGGATAGACATATAAATACATACATACATACGTTATAGCATAGGATAGGCAAATACATACATGATATATATACGTACCTAGTAAATAACTTATACTGTATATCGAGGGTGTCATTGTGCGGGCAACAATACCCGCACTGACCAATCGGAGCCGACATGAAACATATTTCGGCTATACCTGAAACAAAATAAATTGCACACTAAAGTAACCATATCATGGTGACTGTTCATTCTATTTCCACACTTATAAACGATGATAAATGGCTTAGTTTGCTCTGGCACTCTTTAGTTTTTTTATGACTTTTGTACTAATTTTGGTATATTAAAATTCAACACCTTCAACAATAAGTCTGAGTTAATTAAAGTTCAAAATAGCATGCAATTACGATGACAATGATTTAACTTTGATTATAATTATGTATTAAATTAGAAATACAATATTGTAATACCTTTATAAGCTATATTGAACCTTGAAATTAAAGAACAATTTTGCAACTTAGTAGTCTTTACGACAGGCTAAGCTAAGTTTTAAACTTCAACAAACGTTTACAGTTCGAATTCATCTGAAAATATTGCGCTTCTGGTAGTTTATACCAGCTTGTACACCTGCAAGAGATTCAGGAACGGAGATAAGTAGGTACCCTACGTGTTATTCCAATATCATGATCAGTGGCTGTTTATACCAAAATAGAGATAATTGGGTAGTTTCCTAGGTCAAAAATAAATTAATTCCATGTTTCAATAAAATAAAATATTGAAAAATAACTATACTTTTATAGTCGACATCGATACACCAAGTTTTAGATTTTTTTTAGCTTATTATTGTGAAATAAGTAAGCTATTTGACGCAAAAATGTTATGACGTCATAGCTCAGTTTTTCATACAAATTTCATAGAAAAGTATCATTTTTGACGTTTGGATAAAAGTATTGAATTTGACTAGTTGGAAACTACCGTATTACATCAGCATTAGAGACTCGCTACGTATTATTCTTAAAGCTATATTCTTTCTTCATGTATCTGTCTAGCAGTTAATGTTTTAATATAAACAGAACAAGAACAGTGTTTATAATTTACTGTACTTTAGCATGTATTCATTAAATTATTTAAAAACAAAAAGTTTGGTACGCATACGCATTTTCTGAAGCTTTGAATCGAATTTACAATCCACACATTAGACTTAAACTAACTTCAGCTAACGCAACATGAATATAGTAACATTAATCAACCAAACGCAAGATAACTCCTAACAATAAGACAGTATCTAACAAAATTTACCTACAAAACAAATTGCATTTAAAAAAATAGTTAAATAGCCAAAATTTAAACATCGAACTACAAACATGGCGGACTTTTGAAATGGCAGAGTAAATAAACAGATGGCTGGCAGGCACAGCCGTCACCGGCATAAGGGAAACAGCTTAGCGGTCAGCGACCCGTTAACCCAACAAAGTAACAAACGGGCACTCCTTTGACACAAAGGCCTTTGTACAAGTAGACTGCTAATCCAGGTTGATTGATCGTAAGATACACTACGGATTAACATTTCGCTCGTTTCCTTTATAAATTATTGTTAGGTCCAGTGAATTATAAAATTCTGTTACATAATTCGCCAGAACGTAGAGAAGAGGTCGTCACTTGGAGGTCATTGAGAAATTACGATATTCAGGGGAAGAATTCTAGAAGTTGATATGGTAATGTTATAAATACACATAAGCTATGAATCTATACCACTCAACAAAGCTTCTAAGTAATTATAGTCATCATCTGATGACAATGAGTATAATTACTTAGAAGCTTTGTATTAAGAAATGAACTGATGATGATTCATCAGTCCATTTCTACCCATTACTGGACATAGACCTATCTACGACGCCACTGAACTCTTTTGTGCTTTTTGTATTCAATGACTGCTAGCAACCTTGCTGGCATCGTTACTCCACCTAGCTAAAGGGTCCGAAGCGTACGGCGCGAGCGAGACTTGCCCGGTTGGGCCCGAATAGGGCCGATGTTTAGCCGTAGTTTCGGGCTAGTAAGAGTCTGACACTTACTCTGGCCCCACCCAGGGAGAGAGGTTAAACTAATGATTAGCCCCCTCAAAAAATAAAAAAAAAACCTAGCAGAAGGGCTCTTACAAGTAAAGTTTACGATATTGCCAGAACTCAAATGCAGTTGTATCATATGATACGCAAAATAATACCATAAAATATTACTAAAAAAAAAACAAAAAATCATACCAATTCAATCACGTATTATTACAACAATATCTTTCAATTTATATATTCACAAAAAAGGGAAAAAAACAATCCATCAATGAATAGTGTGACAGAAAACTCTTTGACATCATGACGTCAATGGATGGTTGTCAAACGTTGCCTAGAGATTGTAAATTTCGTCGTGAATTGTCAACACGAGTTGGTGTAATCGGTAAGGCGTGTGGATTACACCACAGAGACCCCGAGTTCGAGTCCCGCCGTAAACATGAAGTTTTTTAGTTGATGGAAGTTTTGTCGAACTTTCTGGAATATTTGAGTGAAAGTAATGAAAAATTAAGGAGCGAGAAGGAGAATAAATAAAAATGAATAACGAAATTATTGGAAGGTTCTGGAGGCATGACGATCAAAAAGAATAACGAAATTGAATGTTCTAGAACCTGACCGGGGGTATATAAGCGGAACTGCGGCTCACCGCTGGCAGTTGAGTTCTAAGTCCAAAGCGATTCGGAAGAAAAGGAAGAAGTGAAAAGAAGAAAAGTGAGTGAAATAGTGAAGTACAGTGAAATAGTGAAGTGCAGTCAGTTAAGTGAGTTAAGTCAGCGTGAACAGTGAACGGCAAAGTTGTGTCAGTCGGCCGGACTCTGCTGGAGAGGAACGCCGATAACTTATCCGTATCCGTGGACGCTGTCACTTAAGTGCAATAGAAAGTCTGAAAACCGGTATTAGTGTTTAATTTCATCCAATCCCGTAACCCAAGCCCGCATAGTTAGGAACGTGACGTCAGGCACGTAACATTTGGTGTCAGAAGTGGGATTGGAGAAAAATGCCGCTAGTGCCGCAGGACGTAAGAGGAGTGAGTACCCGTGCTATGTCAGAAGCGCAGCGTGTGAGGGAAGAGGGTGCTGCAGCTCAGACCAGCGATGCAGAAGCCAAGCCTGTGCAGATGGATCTTCTGCTACAGCTGCGGCAAATGATGGCAGAACAGCTGCGTGAGCTGAAAGAAGATCAAGCGCGCCGCCAAGAAGAGCAAGCACGCTGTCAGGCAGAACAGCTGCGGGAGCTGAAAGAAGATCAAGCGCGCCGCCAAGAAGAGCAAGCGCGCCGCCAAGAAGAGCAAGCGCGCCGCCAAGAAGAGCAAGCACGCTGTCAGTCAGAACAGCTGCGGGAGCTGAAAGAAGATCAAGCTCGTCGCCAAGAGGAGCAAGCGCGTCGCTTGGAAGACATGCATAAAGATTTCACGAAGGGACTGCAAAAGGCTGTCGAACGGGTACAAGAAGTGGAGGAAGGTTTAGGCAAGTTGGAACAACGCGTCATGGCGATAGAGGAGAGAGTGGAAGAAGAGATCTCCAAAATCAAGCAGGAAGTGACAAGCCCAAGCCCTTTGAAGAACCGAAGCCGTCTTGCAGCCGTTTTTGACGCCCCAAATGCGGCCTCAAGCGCAACGAAAGGGCTGAAGATTCCCCATTACGACGGAACAACATCCTGGACCGCGTTCAAGCTACAGTTTGAGACACTTATGGAGGCTTATGGTTGGACTCAGAAGGAAGCACAGTCAGCCCTCACCCTGGCCCTCCGTGATCAAGCGCTCTCAGTACTGGAAGCTATCGGCGCAAGTGGGGATCTCAGCTTTAGTACCCTCCTCGACGCACTTGAGGCACGTTTTGGAGACAGCCACCTCGAGCACGTGTACAGAGCGCAATTAAAAGAGCGTACTCAGCGTGCTAATGAGAGTCTACAGCAATGGTCCGTGGAAATCGAGAAACTTGTGCGTCGAGCTTTTCGGTCGACTCCATCAATGATTGAAGGCACGCTTCTCCAAGCATTCATTGACGGTGTTCGGGACCCCGAAATACGAGCTGCTGTTCATCTGGGCCATCACAAGAACATGAAAGAAGCTCTGGCCCATGCATTGGAAGTGGAAGCCGTGCGTGGTAACTCCCGTACCTTACGTCTGCGGGAAATGACGACAACGGAGCAGGTACCTCCACGCCGTCGGAACTTCATGTGCTATGGATGCGGAGAGCGTGGGCACATGCGGAGCGACTGCCCGAAGAAGGTGAACCGCCAGGACGCGGCGGTCTCAACTTCTGACCAGCAGGGAAACTAAATCCAGCCAGGGCTGCGGGGTGGGCGCTGGCCGGTAGTGGAATAACCCCAACAATCTACATCAAGCAAACTAACGATGGAAATACTCTGGTGATAGACGGTCAAGTAAATGGGAAAAACAGTCAGCTAACATTAGATACTGGAGCTTCAAGGACGGTGATAAATGTTCGGCTGCTCGGGCAAAACATCAGGAAACACGTTAAACCAATTGTTGGCCTACGAATGAAATCAGCTACCGGCCAGTGCATACCGATAAGTGGAAAACTGCATGTAACAATCAAAATTGGGGAACGTGTTTATCGACATGAGGTTATTGTGGCCAAAATTCTGGATGACTGCATCCTGGGACTTGACTTCCTGCAAGGGCACCAGTGTAACATCGACTTAAAATCTGGAGTATTACTATGTGGAACTGAGGAAATTCCGATGAAGGGTGGAACCCTGGGAAAAGTTTGCTGTTTAATAAGAACTGTTCTTGAACCAAAATCACAGACTCTCGTACCAATCGCATTACCTAGGAGGAGGGAAGGAAGTTTACCTCTAAGGTGCGCTGTGATTGATAAATCGGAACACGTAAACTCATGGCTACCGGCGAGAACTGTCGTGGGGTCATCTGATGTCAACCGCATTCCGGTATTCAACTTCAGTGATTCAAAAATTACGATTGAAGAAGGAGAGCCTGTGGGCGTATTGGAAGAAGTGGCCTGGATAAGAAAATGCTCGGAGAATCTTGTGAAGAAGGACAGTACGGGAATAGACTTTGTAACGAAAATCTTAGACGAAAACAAAAGTCTGACAAAAGTGGAGACTATGAAAGCTAGAAATTTACTTCTTCGATTCTCTGATGTGTTTTCAA